GAAACATTGAGCCGTCACTACAGTGGTGTTGGCCGGAGATACATTTCTATCTCTTCGTTACCAGTTCTCGGAATCACTCCCGTTTCCATCTAAATGTGTGCTGTCAATTGCATCTTCCGAGTCGTACAATGGTTCCTGCGACAGGATACATCCACATCTCAGGCGCACAAAATCTCACGCCTTCTCTCGCATGTCATACCTCATGGGCTCATACACCGTCGACTTCTCCCACTTGTCTTCCTGCTGAAGCCTCTGCACTCTCATATCAGCGACAACGGCATCGCGCTTCCTGCTGACAACAATCTGCGCAATCCACACGACGATCAAGACTACTGCGCAAACCAAAGTTGGTGCCAACATCATTCTGCTCGCCCTTGCCTCTTTGCACATCCTCTCGCTCCACTCCATATTCTCCATATAGATATTCTCTAGTTGGTCGCAAGCAGCTAGCTCGCGCGTGCAAACGAAGTAGTTGTTGGCAGGTGTATAAACAGAATTTGGTATGCAAGTTGCGCCTTGCAAACGGGCCTTGGTTTGTGATGTGAAGATTGTGGACGTGAGAGACATGGCGAGCGCCGCAGTGCCGAAGAAGATCGAAGAGACAAGCATCCATGGAAAGCTAGAGGGACGAGTTGTTGGGTGCTAATCATTTTTTTTAGCAATGTTCCACAACGGTCTTGGGTCAGAAAACACACCTTCTCCTTCCTCGACATCCACCACACAGCCAGCCATCCAATCAGTCCAGCAACCAGACCAACACACCCACTCGTCAGAATCCAGATATCGTTACTGTTCACATACTCTAGTGTCACTATGTCGAAGTCTTTACTTCCAGAGTCGACGGCGTCCCAGTACGCGCCACGCTCAGGTGAGCCAAGGCGTCCAACCCATTTGTAAGACCCTGCTGGAACTCTATAATCTAGCGAGCTTGTGTAGTCCGTGGCAAGGTAGACTGTAACAGCCGATAGAGCGAGGAGGGTTGTTGAAGTTGCAAGAGAAGTGGTTTGCAGAATGGTGGGGAGTGTTGGGAAATGCATAGCTAGGCTGGCGGTATTATAAAACTTGTATTCGATCGGGATGGAGTAATTGAGATAGGGAGATATGAGTATGACGAAACGATACGAAACTAAGAGCTGGCAGCTCGACAACGTTATGTGCGTACGACGAAGAGGTTGTTGGCGGGGTGACATTGCACCGCATCACCATCCTGCAATGGTGGGACGGGACCCGAGTCGAGCATACTAACGAAACTGCGCCTCATTCAGACGGCTTGCAGCAGACTTTTGGCCTCAATACGATGGGCAGGTGCCTACACGCGGTGGATGGAGGAAAGAATGCACGCTGCTGTATCATGCGCTCGACATTTATGTTGCTCTGATGTAGGCGGGGCGGACTTGAGTGAGACCCACGATGCGCTCGAACGGCTATCGTGGTGTTATGACATAGTGTTGCTGCGACAATGTCAGCAAGACCGGAGTTCGCTACGAGCATGCCAAGCACAGCTCCGCTTACAAGAAGGATTCCTTTTGCACGTTCCTTGCTCTTATAATAGATACCCCGCGTAGCCAAAGTCTCGATTATCTTTAAGAACAATGAAGCAAGTCAACCTTGCGGTTGGCATGGCAGCCATTCACATGCGCGATACACCCAACCACTTTCCAATCATCATTACATGCCACGTTCTGGAGTCTTACATTTCATGCTCAGCCATACTATCTCAGTAGTCGTCTTCGTATCTCTGTTCGTCTCTGCCCTCATCGTACGCATTCTCCATGTTGTCTCCAAATTGTTCCACACCATCTGTCATGTTATCCCACTTGTTCTCGATATCCTGTGGTATGTCTTCCACCGCCTGGACCTTCTCGCCAGTCCATTCCGCAGCGTTTTCTGGGAAGTTCTCGATATCGTTGACGCCGTTGTCCCACTTCTGCTCCACATCATCGCCAAAGTTTTCTACGCGTCCGACTTGCTCGCCTGTCCACCCTGCGGCGTTTTCGGGGAAGTTGCTGATGTCGTTACCGAACTCGTCGACGCCCTGTGAGACGTTGGCTTTGGCGCTGTCCCAGCCGTCTTCTGTAAGGTAGAGTTAGTGAACTGAGGGAATGATACAGAGTTGTGTGATTACGCACCAATCTTGTCGCCCTCGTGCATCAGCAATGCACCACCTGCAAGACCTGCTGCACCAGCTGCGGCGTACTTCCAGCCATTGCCACCAGACTTTTTCTCTTCCTGGTGGCCACTACGGGTAGGATCGTATGAGCTCTGGTTGTATGCGCCTTGGTTGCTGTAGCCGTCTTGGCCGTAGCCGTATCCACCTTGTGGTGGTGGAGCACCGTAGTTGCCCTGCTGTTGAGCGTAACCAGGACCAGGGTACTGGAAAGTACGCTCGCCGTTGTGCTGGTTCACGAAGACCCAGCGGTTTTCGCGCCCATCCCACTCAGCGTACCAAGGTGGGGAGACTGGTGGTGGCTGCGGAGAGTGCTGTTGGGGCGGGTATTGAGAGTAACCTTGCTGCTGTTGAGGTGGGTATTGGGAGTAGCCGGACTGCTGCTGCTGCTGTTGATTTTGCTTGTCACCGCCAGTGAAATCGGAGATCAGTTCACTCAGGAAGCCCATGGTGAGTATGCTGTGTTTGTTACGTAGGGTAAGAAGATGTTGAAAGAGGGTTGTTAATGTCCAGGTGGATGCAGGTGGGGTGCGGTATTTATTCAATCATCAGCATCAGCCCCTCTCGTACATCGATAAACCCACTACATCTGCAGCTAAATCTGTTCGAGATCGTCCACGATGTGTAACAAATGCGAACGGCCGGAGCTTTGAAACGTGGCGCAATCTCGGTCTGGCGGTGAGGCGGTGCCGCTATCTCCGGCGTCAGAAAAAGCATCACCAGTGCGATTGCCAACGGCGATAATCTTCAAAGAACTCATTGACGCGAAAAAGACGAGCAAACACCATTGTGAAGCCGTAAAACTCGAATAAACACTGCTGGCTTGACAGGATTGTCAGCATGCATCGGCAGATAGCCAAGCATCACGAAGCTTTACTTGGCAAGCGGATAGTCCCTCCCGGCTGAGTTAGGCTTTGACATCCCCGCTTTAGTGACCACACTCCGAGGCGCAGTTCAGGGGCGTCTGACGCATTTGCTGCGCCACGCGACCGAGCTGGTGTCAGCAGCATGGTACGCATTCCAGTTCTATAGTACTCAGCTGTAATCGTTCTGAACTTTATTACGCCACGTTCAGTCAATGAACCTCGCTGCTTACACTATGGCCGTATCGTGCACGGTGGTGAAAAGCATCCCATGCGCCACCCCATTTCTCAAATCGAGGCCGAGGTGTTACTAACTTTGGATCGACGCGTCGCAACGTGACTACGCGACACAACACAAATCTCAGATCTCATATTGGGTATCGACAGCATACAGGATACTGGGGGCGTATCGAGAAATATGCTACAATCTTCAGAATTCAGACGATGTGTCTACAGTATAATACCTACATTGTAGACGTTGCCCCACGCAAGATCCAACAACCATCCAGGCCGGTTGAACTCTATGTCGCGTTCATGTTTGTCAGTCAGGTGCTGTTGAGAGCCCTGGAGACAATGATATGGCAGTGTGGCAGAGGTGAAAGCAACCATATCCTCTGATACCAGGCAAATTCACCACTCACTTCACATCTGTAACCTCAAGTAGCTTCATATCATGTAAGCGCTTCGTCGCGTCTCTTTTTCCGTCCTCTTCTCTACATCCCTCACACCACGCTCTCAATTTCCGATGGTCTATCCCAGCCAATTCGAGCCCATCATGAAGCTCTTCGCGACCTCCATCCTCACTTTCGCTCTCCTGGGCATCGTTACCACTGCTTCCACTCTCGACGGTGAAGCCTGCACTGAAGGCGAGAAGCAGTGCGCCCTCAATGGTCACATGGTCGGTCAATGTGTCAGCGGCAAGTGGACGATTGTCAATATCTGCAAGCCTGGCGACATCTGCGTTGAGAATGCTACAGCTCTGTGTGCTTCGAACCTTGATAGGAACGTACCTTTCAGCGCAGAGAGCGATATTTCCGCTATTGAGGATCTTGGTAACAATGGTGCTGAGTTCCCTGCCACCGAGGAATGTCGCGATGGCGATGCGCAGTGCGAAGTCCTTCCGCTCATCCTGCTTGGCCGCTACGCTATCAAGCGCTGCAATAGCAACCACAAGTGGTTTATCGATGTGGTCTGCAACCGAGAGGATGTCTGCATTGCCGAGCCTTATCCTCACTGTGCCAGTCTCGAGGCTGTTGACAGACGTGAAGAAAGCAATGGCAAAGACGGAGGTAAAGACGTCATCAACGCGGTGAGTTTCATAGCTTCTCCTTCCTCAGCTTTCGCGCATCTGCTGACTGCTTTCAGGTTCAGATCAACAAATTCGAACTGCCATGCACAAAATGCAAGAGATTTCGCGATGAGTGCACCACGGTAAGCTCCACTCACTTGCTTCTATCTCCTATTCTCTTCAAACTTACCGACAACACTAGAATTGCTACAAGTCGGTTCATTGGAGGACGCGGGCGTGGTGCCAGAAGACATGTATCAACAAGATGAAGGACTACTTTGTTGAAGATGGCAACCATGGAACATACCGCGGTACCTGTAAGTACTACTGCCCGAACTTGTGTCAATAAATTTCTGCGATAGGATAGCAGGCGGGGGTGAAGTATCTGAGGGTCCTCTGTGAAACTGGATGAAGCAATAGGACACGTAGGATCCGAGAAGTTACAAAGGTAGCGCAAGCGAACATAGGCCGTAGCATAGCATGATTAGCTTCTTCGCATGAAACGTTCAAGACTCATTTTCACCTACCCATCCTGCGTTGACATGTTCATACTGAACTTCCCGCCACATAACGAAGAAGCCCGCAAGACGTAGAGGAAGGGCAAGCAAGCCAAGACAATTGACATGCACAGAAGAGAACTTTGTATTACCACACCACCTCGTCCGATTTTTGGGTATCTCTTTCAATCAAAAACAACCTTCTTTCCCTGCGGCGCTCCCTTGCCCGCAACATCAATCTTCAACTTCTTGCTCTCCTTTGCCATCTTCGCAGCCTGCCAACTAGGATGCAGTTCGCCCTTGTCATCCCGTTTAACACCCAGGCCCATCTTCCTATCCTTTTTATCATCCTTCTTACCCAGTGGCTCTGCGTTGCTTCCACTCTGTTGGAGACCAGGACCCATGGGCTTGCCTCGTCTTTGACGCTTACCATCACCGGCAACGGCTCCTCGTTTGGCGTCGAACTTGACGTTCTGTTGTGCTTTCTCAATATGTTTGGCTTTTGCGCCGAACTTCATCTCAGCAATCTTTTGACGGGCGCGTTGGCCACGGCGATTCTTTCGTGGAGCGACGTCAACGTCGAGGTCGGAGGCTTCGGATTCGGAGCCGCTGAAGTAGGCGGCGTGGCTGAGCGCGGGAAGGAAGGCGGACGAGGTGGGCTTATCTTCTATGGCTTTGGTTTTGCTCTTCTTGGTGAGTATCACGGCTTCGTCGGAATCGGAGTCGGATTCTGAATCGGCAGAAGACTCGTCTTCGCTGGTCCCGTCTGCCTGTGCGCCTTCTTCCTCATCATCCTCGCTTGCGCTCTCGGCCTCGAGATCGTCGTCGGGGTCGTGTTCGCTTTCGCTGTCTCCGATACTTGGGGGTCGATCGTCGTCCGATATTGAGCCCTCGCTTCCCTCCTCGCCTGAAGATGGCGCAGCTATCCGCGCGCTGAAAGCCATGTATGGATCGTCGCCCTCGTCGCTTGCGTCCTTCATCTCCACGTCCTCCGTCTGGGCAGACTTGGAGCTCTTCGCCTTCTTGTCATCCTTCTGCTTCTTCGCACCCTCCGCCTTGATGCCTTTGTCCCCTTCCTCCTTCTGGTTGCTGTCCTTGGCTTTGCCGGCTCCCAAAATGTTCTTCAAGTCCTCAACGACACCATCCACCACCTTCTTCACATGCACCACCTTGAACAACCTCGCAGTGACATTGAGAGTACTGGTGTCCTTGCTTCCCTCCCTGATACCAGCGATGTATTCTTGTAGTGGCTCCGCGTCCTTCAAGCTTTTGACCCTTGCCAGAGTCTTGCGCAAATGCTGATCGCCTAGCTGCTCCAGGTTCAGCGCCTTCAAGACTTGGTATTCGGCATCCAAGCGAGAGATTGCCTTCTGGTCGCCCTTCTTCTGCGCCTCCTTCTTCCTGCGACTGTGTTTCTGGCGCTCGAGCGAGGAACCATGTTTCAGCGCTGCGAGAAGCGGCTTTTGCGCAGCTTCGAGGCACTTTTGGCAGCTCTTGGCTTGTTTCGCAGGCGTGGCTAGGGAAGCTGGGGGAAGCTTTGCGGTAGGAGCAGGCGATTCGCGCTTTCGTTTCGGCATTCTGGGCGCTCTTTTGGGGCTGTTGTTGTTGGTGTCGAGGTGCCAGTGGAAATTTTGGAAATGCGCCCAGGGCTAATCGATAAGCCCGGCCAGAATTCCACTGCGCGGCATCTAGGCCGCTCTCCACTGTTCTTCTGTCACCCTTCTTTCAGTCTGTCATTAACATCACACATCACATGCGCCTTAGAATATGCCGTCATGCGATATGGTCGACTAAGTCAAAAATGATAGACTTGGATACACGTTACAAAGAACAGCTGACAAGGTTAGCTCATAGGCACTTGTCGCACCTTCCAGCCTACTTCACCTTAGATTCAACCCTCATCACGCCTCGCTTCTCCAGCATCATCTCATTCTTGTTCGCTCCTGCTCGTAATGCCGCGTCTCCGGTTCCCAAGGGTGCTGAGGCTGCCTCCGACTAGGCGTACCTCCGCTCCGAGCCCCTCTAGGAATAGGAGCCTCAGTATCAATATACACGCTTGGACCCTGCCCCCGTGGTCGCTCGCCATACTCCGTCTGCCCTCCTCGCTGCAAATGCGCCTGCATCTCTCCGCTCTGTAGCCCTCGACCGTCAGCCATGGTGGGCATCCGGTGGAACTGAGGCTGCTGTTGCTGCTGCTGCTGCTGCGATCGAGCCTGCCCTTGGCCAAAGAATGCCCCCTGCGGTGCTTGATTGGGTGCATTGCGGAATAGCTGCGGTGGTACCATGTCATCGTCGTCCGTTCCACGGTTATTACCATGTTGCGGGAAAAATAGAGGGCCGTCTGTATGGCCATCTGCCTCATGGTCAGCTCTCTCTTGCGTCACTGCTTACTACGAGGCACAATGTACGATGCGACCTGTCCTCCTCCGCTGCCCCAGAGGCTTTGGATTTCTTCTCCTTGTTCATTTTACGAGCCCGCAACTTATCACCTAGGACTTCCCAGTAAGAGGTAAGGTGCTTGCGCTGTTGGAACTTCCTTGTACGCTCTCCTGGCTTCGATGGTGCTGTAGACAGATCTCGAGCCATATTGTCTATCGAAGGCATCTTAGGTATCCAAAGGGGGGTGGGAAACCCCAGGATCAATCTTATACTTGCGCGCAGTGACTAAAAGGACAAATGGAAGAACCGGTGCCGGCACGATGCTAGACAGTACGAAGGCATTTGCTAAACATGTCACTTACGATGTTTTCTTGATCCGCCATGATTTCTTCGACGAGGAGCATCATTTCCAGAGCCACTTTGACCAGTAGCGTGGCCCCTGTGTGATGGTTTTGGAGGGATCACATGGCGGCCTCGGTTCTCTTTGAAGCCACTGCCACTAATATGTCTTTCGCTTCTAGGTACGCGTCTCGTACTCTTGCCTGTGGAGTGGGCGTTTACTGGAACATGAGTATATCTGCCTGCTGGCTCTAGAAGGCTTTGTTAGCAGCGGAGTGACAGTTCACTAAGAGTAGCTTGCCGAAACAGATTGGACGCGGAGGAGGCGTGGAGCATCGATTAAAACAACACATGCTATCGGAATTGTGAGCTTCGAGATAGGAGACTGGCTATGGGATTGATATTTCAGGTGGCTATAGATACAGATTGATGTTGGCTGTGATTTGCTATTTATGGATGAAGGTGCTAATCAACTCGTTGCAGTATCCATTAAGGGCGCAGAAGAAGGTAGTTATGTGCGATTGCGATTGATCTTCAAGCCCTTCACAGGCATCGTATAATATTGCGCCATCAAATCATGGAATGAACTGAGACGTTGTTGGTGGTTTGGACACACAAAATCAAAGGCGCTCTTTAATACACGACATTCTAGATAGCTGGTCAATTTACCAGATAGGTGACGATGGGTGGGAAGTCTGTTATGCTAATGCGCAGACACTTCATCATAAAAGGGAATCTAAATCGACATTGAGCACTGCTCCTTACAGCTCAAGGTTAGAAGTATTGCAGATTTTATGGTCTTATAAAATTAGGTCGAGGTTAGTATAACTTGCTGTAAGAGGAGAGTGACCCTTGTATGGCAAGCTGTTGTCTACGCTCTGAGCTTACCCCGCAGTCAGCCTTTCAAGCACACAGCACTCAACACCCCAACCGCAATCCTGAATGTGCTACGAGGTCATTGAAAGATATTCTGTTTGTCGTTGCTTATACTACAGGCATGCGATCGACCCCTGTGCAGCGTACGGTCAGCGGGGGCACGGCATTCAAGAAAAGACGGCTCTGGTAGGATACAGATGTCCCGAACATCAACTCAGCTGGGACAAAGAACAAGCAGTATCCGTAGAGAAGCCAGACATTGTTGATGATTCCTCAGATATAGATGGAAGCTTGACTGATGACGAAAGTATCTTCTCCACCTCAATTGCGTTAAGTAGATGTACGTCTTTTATCGCAACCGATGGACAAGACACTGTCGCGGAGATACTGAAGATCCTGATTGAGGACCCTGAGTTGAGATGGGAGAAACTGCTGTGCTTTCAACCCGAGATACCGATTGGGAGACAAGTGAAGGATGTACAATTCTTCCTAGCAGCCTTCGAGAGTGATCTACGCACTGAGGCTGGTTCTACTCTACAATACCATGCCTGCGCGTTTCTGCGACGTCGCCTCCGACACATCTCATCACGAATATACGAGCACTACGATATCGAAGAGAAATTCAGTTCTGGGAATATCCTCTCCAACGACGAGGACGTTTCTGGGTCATTGGAACGACTTGAGCCTATCGGTCTGGACGAGCCCGATTCGACGCTCATGCCTGCCTTCTCGAGCATCCAAGATTTCCTGTTTAAAGGAGTTGCATACCAGTCGTTGAAAGAGAATATAAGAAATTTTGTACAACATACGCGCAATCATGAGGAAGAGATGGTCGATATCATACTGCGGAATATACATCCACCAAAAGCGGTCTCCCATCGTTTTGAGAATGATTGGGCAAAAGTACGACGCGCACACCTGAGTCGGTTTCTTTCCTGCCTTGAAATTGAGGCAGAAGAACATAAGCTCTCAGCTTCGGATCGTGCTGGCTTGAAGAAAGTTCGTCAACATCCCTTCCAGCTTATCATGAGAGTCACGACGTCTTGGACGAGCGAAAAACCCTCATGGCATCATTATCCACTCATACCAGGCATCGATAGCTGTTTGACATACGGAGACGTCTCGGGAACCACAATATATAGCCAGACCGAAATCGAGTCTTTCGAGACGTTTGTATGCTCAAGCGAAGCTTTTTTGACGCTCGCAAGAACAATTTCCGGTCTTCCACATAAGAATCGAAGGAAGTCTGGGTTTGTTGTATGGCAGCAAGGGCTTAATGCTCAGACTCCATCCGATGGTAACCTACGTAAAGATGTGTATGACACGATTAGTTATGATTGTGTAAGTTTTTCTGACCTCCTACCACAACTGCACCCATGCAGCTGACCTCTCATAGCCATGTGGGAAAACCATCGTCGACAACTACGCACCATTGTCTGCAGAAAGTGCTTATAACCGGTCGCGACAACTGAGGTTGCTCTCTGTGCGGCAAATGTATCAGCAAGCTGCCTCACAGCACTCGCCGCGAAGCTTTTCAACGTTTACCGTGCGCCGCTTCTTATCTTACTTTACTGGTACCGAAGCGTCGAGCAATATCCCGCTTCCCCAGCATCAACCCCCTGACCCGACTGCCAATAACGTGGCGACAAAGCAATGCATAACGCAGTCCGGATCAGTACAGCATAAACACCACTTCATTCATTGGTGTGTACCTTGGAGTCGCTACGCCGTACGCATGTCTCCACTGCAGTCATGCCAGATCCGATCAGACCTCGACTTCTTCAAGCTCCTGAAACAACGGTATATACAGTCTAAAGGAAGATACAAGATGTTCCTCTCGTTCAAGAAACCAACTGCCCTACGGTTCGTGAAGGTAAGTCCATACTTCGATCTCTGGAATACCTGAAGCCGTTCATGGCTAACACCTGATTTCAGTTCCGTTTGTATCAACATCAGCTCGTAGATATTCACACGACTGATGACATACCACCTGAGTCTTACAAGGACGAGTATGAATATTACCCAATGCCTGCGGAGACCGTTCCTCCAATCGGCCCCAATCTACTGATGCATTTCTTTACGCATCCAGACGAGAGCCCCTCATATCCGGTGTTACTACCAAGCATACCGAAACGAAAGAACGACAAGCTCGAACCTTGTCCCATACGTGGCAGCAGGTAGGTCAAACCAACCGATCTGATAATGAGCTTATGCTAATGCGTACAGCCTTGGTTGGGGAATTGACGTCGTGACTGGGATCGACGAGTTCAAGCTCTTTGCTTTAGGCTTGATTGGTACGCTGGCAAGCATGATTTTTGGAATTGTGTGGTCAGTCGTGAGACAGGATATACAGGGTGGATTTGCAGTTGCAGGTTTTCTCTTCACACTTTTCGCATTCGCTATTGCTAGTTTGAAAGCGCTAGACTTCTAGTGGCTGCGGAAGTGCCATGGACTAGCCACATGAGATTCAGACGCCGGATTCAGATTCATATTGAGGCTTTCATATGTGACCAATAGAGGCGACAGATGCCTTGGCTGCACTATCTCCAACGAACTCACCGTCAACGCCTATGACCTGTGCCTTCGAATCCATCCATGCCTCCACGCCCGAAACCTATACCCCCCATGGCCTCGAATCCGCCCATACCACCAGGACCACCTGTCGGTCCTCGTCCTCTCTGGCTACCTGTACCACCACTTCCATTTACGTGATCCATATTCCAAGCGGGATGCGAATTTCCAACGCCATCAAGCCTCGCCCCTCCTCCACCTCCACCTCCTCTATCCATGCCCATAGGCCCTTGCATGAATGAATCTCTGGAACGGCCGGTCCTTCTAGGCTTGGGCTGTCGAAAAAAGCCGGGGTCTATTCCTCGATTTTCAGGTCCCGGAAAGTTACCAGACGCCCCTGAACGATGACCACTTCTTCTCTCATTCATCTGTCCCAGGAGTTCCTGCATGGCTTCCTCGCCACGTTGTGGGCCTACAACAGCAGAACCGAACCCAGAGGCGTTGCCCGTTGAGTTTCTTCTATTTGGCGCTTGCAAAGATGATGTCATTGGAAACATTTCCGCCTTGAATAAATCTTTTCGGTTTGAGCTATAGTTACTGCTCTCACGAGCAGTAGGATCTGGGTTCCTGGGCCGTACGGTGGACAACTGATAGCCTGGTTCGCCAAGCTTGCCATGTTGGTACAGTGGGGGCGGGGTGTGGTCGCGTAGGAAGTTGAAGAGACCCATAGTGTTTATTGATCGATCTAAAGGATGACGGTTCGCTTTGTTGTTGTAAAGTCTAGATAAGTGTGAGTGATAATCCCGTGTTGGAAGACGCCGGAGATGGTAGTGGACAGAGGTATTGTAGGAGATGGAGACTAATCTTATATACCAAGTACTTGCTGTGACAGTGTCGCTCCAAAAACATGGAAGCAAGGGCGACGCCATTCTGTTAACGTAGACTGAAAGCATGTGAGCTTTTGCATACGTTGAATTGCATACATGTGGTACGCAAGCACGTTGTAATGGCTGGCAACAAAATGGAATTCCATAATAATCTATAAACATGAATAGTCATAACTCGTGCCAGAGCTTCTGTCAATAAGTGTTTCGGTATGTCTCAAAAGAATGCGGTCATTCCCTCTTTTCTCCTCAATGCGACGTGGAGGAAGATGTACACGACCACACCGAACCCCAACATACCAGAGATAACTCCGAAACCCATGAGGTACTTTGGTTTATCGTCGCCAGGGAACAGGTATGCGCCGTATATCTGCGCAAGATTGCCCATAGCGTTGACGAGCGCAATCGCGATGGCCCTAACCTCAGGCTGCATAGACCCAAACGTCGCGCTCGCGAACGATAGAGAAACGGCGTTCGAGGCCCAGAGACCAGCGGCCATAAGAACAAGTAGTGCGTATCGTGCTTTGAAGTCGTAGATTACGCATACGAGAATCGACGTTATGAGGGAAAAGCCGAGCCAGCTTGCGATCACGAGGCCTCGGTGGTGAGAAATGGCGTCGGCGAAGTAGGTAGTGACTGCTGTGCAAACGAAGGCGACGGCATAAATGGGGACGGTCATGTACTGGGCTGTTACTGTGTCTGTGTAGCCAAGCCCAGTCATCAGGGTCGGGTAGAAGTACGAGAGGGTAGAAGAGCCAACGATAACCTGACACCGTTAGACGAGTGCTCCATGATCCACATTAATGGACTTACCATGTAGCCAAGGATAAATGAAATGGTCCTCCAGTCCATGATAGCAAGACGGAAAGACTTTGCCTTGCCCATCCTCTCCTCACCCTCAACGTGTGTTCGGACTCCGCCTTCTCGGAGACGCGCGATGGCGATAGCTCGCTCTCGATCAGTGAGCCGTTTTGTGTTAGCAGGGAAGTCCAGCAAGATGAAGTATGCCACCATTGCCCATATAATGGTTGCAGCTCCTTCCACGATGAACAACCATCGCCATCCGCGAAGACCAGCTGTGCCCTCCATACCGCCGGTTATTGCGCCCGCAAGAAGACCACCAAATGCGCCACTGAGGATCGCAGCCGACATGTATACACCGAAGCGTTTCGATTGCTCGTCTTTTTTGTACCAGGACGATATGATGAGGATAATTCCTGGCGCGAAACCCGATTCGAAGACACCAACGAAGATTCGGAGTACGACAAGGTGTTTGAAGTCATCGATGACAGCCATACAACAGGTCAAAGCCCCCCAAATGATCATGATGACAGGTAGGTAGATGGACGGCTTGAGGCGGACCAGGAGCATGTTGGAAGGCGGCTCGAAGACGACATAGGTCACGAAGAATACAACCAAAGCGATGGAGTATTGATCGGAGCTGAGTTGCAAATCGTCAGCCATACCGGCAATCTTCGCATTTCCGATACTGGCAAGTCGTTAGCCTCGTCTGTCACGCCATTTCGAGATAAGCATACTTTGTGCGGTCCATGTATGATAGCAGGTACATCAACCATATTGTTGGGAGCAAAAAGAGGTCAATTTTGCGGACCAGCTTTTTCTCTTCCTCTTTCGTCCATATGAAGTCCTCAGCGATCTCTACATGCTTCGTTGCGTCCATCTCTTTCACATCTATAGGCTCTAGAGAGTGGCGTGTCGACGACATGGTGTTCCTGAGCGCGAAACGACGGAAGCGGGACGGATATGGAAGCAACGAAGCGGAGCCTGAAACGACAGGCTGTATAGTATTGCGATAGCAGTCACCGATACGTCTAGATGGGTGCGACACCCATGGTGCTTTATAGTGGAAACGTATCTTGCCCTCAGGTTTTGATGTTTGCCAAAAACAGCATGGACCTCCCCAGATTGCGTTCGGGCCTTTTTCTTACCCCAGGTCTCGAGCTACAAGCCGAAGTTCCCGCATCAGACCCGCCTGCACAGGAAGCTTGACAATAGTGATTGGTCGAGGAACACGACAGAACATGTTCCATGCATTAATTCGGTGCACACCCGACGGTGTGCCTCGAGGCGAACTTTGTGCCACTAAGCGAAGGCAAGTAGTAGCTATCACACGTGCAAGTCGCGTCGGCGCGTAAGCTCGCCACGAGGCCGTTGCTCCTGCGAAGATGGTTGAACCGAGTCTTTACAGCATCCCTGCCTTGTGGACCATGCTCGCATCGTTCTCGCCCGTGGGGAGCATTTGGTACCGATCAACCACACTCCGTTGCCACCAGTTTCTTGTGGGGTGGGTATGTGAGATGTACTTAAACATGCGGGGTGCCAGCCAGGTGGTGTTTGCCTCTCCATCATTTCGGTTTTCCATTCTTTCGCCAGACCTGCCGCACTCCCCAAACCTACACCAGTAGAAATCAATCGGAGATGTCTCCTTCCGCGATCGTACCGCAATCTGACCAGACAGCGCCTGCCAACGGGCACGCCAACAACGGTCAAGTTGAGCAGACTGTCGAGAATCCTGTCTATCTTACTACAGAGCCAAAAGAAGATTTTGACTGGAAAATTACTCTGAAGGGCAAGGTAGTCGCTATTACCGGGGCAAACAGAGGTTGGTAGAAAGGAACACCAAGAGTTGAGACAAGTGCTGACCTTGCAGGTATTGGACTCGGCCTCGCTACAGTATGCCTTGCCAACGATGCTGCTGAAGTCTACTCCCTGGACCTCTTCGAGCCCGGTGAGGAGTTCCAGGCGCTGCAGAAGGCCAACCCCAAGCGCGTACACTACCTTCACTGCGATGTCACATCTGAAGAAAGCGTCACGAAGGCCATCGACCAGATTGTTGCCCAGTCGGGCCGTATCGACGGCATGATCGCCAACGCAGGAATGACCAAACATCAGCCCGCACTCAACTTCGATCGCCCACAGCTCGAACAGCTTTTCAACCTAAACGTTTTTGGCGCGTATTTTTGTGCAACGGCTGCCGCGAAAAAATTCATCGAGCTTGGTATCAAGGGTTCGATCGTCTTCACAGCGTCCATGACATCGTACCGGCCAAACAGGGCAGCACCGTCAGCACCATATGGAGGGACAAAGGGCGCTGTTCGCAACATGGCACATACTCTCGCAATGGAGTGGGCAAAGCACGGAATTCGTGTGAATTCGATATCGCCGGGTTTCGTACGCACACAGATGACATACTATGTCGAGAGGGCGCCCGACTGGAACTTGAAGATGCAGTACTATGGCGGTATGCCTAGATTGGCCGATCCTCGTGAACTTGGCGGTGCATATGTGTACCTCCTCTCAGACGGTGCCAGCTACACTACGGGTATCGACATCCCAGTTGCGGGCATTGTCGGCGCCTGGTAAAAGGGTTCTGTTGTTGCTTCTTCGCGTTATACTGCATTGGGTGGAGTCTGTAACTGCCGGCTGGCTTTGGTTCTGTTAGAACCAATTCAACAAAGTTTATTAAAAATGCTTCTCTCCTCTGCAAGATGTCAAGTGATGCATGGCGATGTTGTTGTCGATGTCCGTAGTGGTGTCGATCATGTCGTGCAGGTGAGAAGGATGAGGCGACATGTCAAGAAAACGAAATTGTAACCCGGGATGCGCAACAGCCACAACTGACTAAGCACGTCTCCTTTGCTGCACGCAGCCTGTATACATCGTGAATCCGCCGATACTTCGAGTGGACATTGCTGCTCCTCTTCTATGAGACATGCTCCAGGACCTGTATCATGTACATTAGGCCTCCCAAAATCAGCCGGTGGTGGACAGTGCTTTGGACTGGCGCGGGGCCTTCGAAGGAGTATTCGCCGCGGGCCTTTTCCAGAGTGAACACGATTCCCTTCTCTAACCACCGTCAGATCATCCTGCAAAACTCCGCGAGGTATCAGAAATCCGGGCTCTGCATGCGCTGTGGTATCCTGGGCTAGTTGAGCGTCCTTCCCATTGGCCCCAGCCTCGTTCCCCACGGCAGGCCTAACCGGCGAAGCGGATCCTCAAGGGCCAAGCGAAGTTCCACCAGCATGCGCAACATCATTCGTAATGCAAGCATCGTCAACAGGCAATCCTAAGCCGCGCAAACCCCGTCCATCTCGAGCGCGAGTAAGTCTAATTGTGTTGACTGGGTGTGAGACTTTTACTGATTCGACGGTTCCGTCGCTTGCAGGGCTTACGTACAACCACCGGATGGTAAGCTGCTCCCCAAGCACGTGTCCGCCTTGTATCTTTGAACTGTCATGTTCGCTAGCTCTGTATTGGTTACATGCTGCAGGTCTCTTGGTTAACCGCCGGCTAACTTGAACAGCCTTACCTGCAGACGAAGGAGGGTGAAATGTGACGAGCTGAGGCCACGATGTGCGACATGCAGCAAATCCGACAGAGAATGTCTGTGGCCGTCGCCAAATGACCCCGCTGGCGGCACGGGAAGCAATGCGTCTGGTTCTGTTCAATCAGAAACTTCACCAGCTCAAGATGGCTCTTCTGCTGCTGCCACGTCGCCAGGACCTGCTAGACGACCGATTCCAGGTGATATCGATTCTCAGCTCTGGAACAATTCTCCTGAGCTATTGTTCGATTCTCCGTCGACCGTCATCAACTCGTTGCCGTCGCCAAATTCGGCACCTTTGGCCTACTACGATCTGCTTGCCGAGGATGCCATCAACAACATTGACAAGTACAACCTCAATGTTGACCTAGACAGGAACAATTTGTCCAGACAGTCAAGTCCTGTCGCGGATACACCAGGTTCAGGCCCGCAGCTACACTCAAGCCAGCAAGCACCAGAAGCCGAATCGTCGGCACATGAGCAATGGAACTCAATCAACCCCATACCCATGTCTGACGATGAGCTCGTGCTTTTTCAACACTACATTGCTGTGATTGGTCCTATTTTGGATCTGAACGACCCTTCTAGGCAGTTCACGGAAACTGTTCCTTCTCTGGCTGTCCATAATGTAGGCCTCATGAAGTCTCTACTCGCTGTGTCGGCACGGCACATGGCACTCCTGAATGAGCCACAAATCTGTCGGTTAAACATACAAGACCCATCCCCGGACGGTGACGATGGCAGGATGAGGAACCTTCAAAGTCCTCTGCTACAGGCAGGAACACAATACTACTATGAGACTTTGCAGTACCTGTCGAAGAATCTTTTCTACCCTTCCTACAATAGGTCTAGGGAGATTATATCGACATCTATTCTCATCAGTACCTATGAGATGTGGGACTCCGAAGGTCAATACAGCAACGGAGCCTGGGAGAGACATTTGCGTGGTATATTCTGGATACAGAGGAGCCAAAACAATAACGGAGAGTCCAAAGACCCACTTCGGAGAGCTGCCTGGTGGCAATGGATACGTCAAGATACCTGGGTCGCATTCCGCGAAGGACGTCGCGTTCTAACTATTTGGAGACCGACCAAGCGTTTGATGGACCTAAGCCCGGACGAATTGGCTTTGCGGATTGTGTACATATGTGGGCGATGTGTAGACTTTGCCGCAAACGAAAAGAAGTACGACCTGAACACTCGCATCGAACAAGCCGGAAAGCTCCTGCAAGCTCTGGAAGATTGGCATCGAGCGCTCCCAGTATCCTTCCATCCCATTCACCGAGGACCGCCACCTGGACCTGGCGCCATGTTTGCGCCCATCTGGATTCACCCTCCTTCGTACGCAGCTGCTGTTCAAACGTTTCACTTTGCGAGAATTATAGTTCTCATCAACCAGCCTTCAATGGGAGGTGTCGACGAATTCCGGATTCGACAACGTAGCCTGGATGAAAGCGTAGACATGATCTGTGGCATTGCGATGGCACACCAAGGCAGAGAAATTCCAAGTGCCATGGTGAACTTCAAGTCCATCTATGCTGGTAAGCTTCACACCATCACGCATGTTGTTCGAAATAATGCTTACACTATCCAGCTGGTTTATGCGTTCAAGAACCCGTCAAGCAAACAGCTATTTTGAACCTCCTCGACCAGACGCTCGATGTCACCAAGTTCCCACCCAAGACATTACTCAACGATCTTACCAGCTATTGGCGGGCCGAAGCATGACCTTCCATCGATCGTACCGAATACAGCCATCCTATCTGAACCTTTCTCCACATATGCATGTCAATTTCTTATCATTGCATCCATCGAACCGTATGCAACGGACTTTTGGCCCCTCGCTCTGGCTCCACTGTGACGCAGTGGTTCTGTGAGGACGGCCTCATCTGTACACAACTCCGAAAAAGCAAACTCGTGCAAAAGAACCATGTAGCGAGGCTATTGTGGGTCGGTGCGCAACGGAGAACGCCCTGAATTCGAGTGTACTTTTTCCACAAAACTCACAATGTGGAGACCACTCAGCCGTGGCATAAATCCCTGCATCGTGGGGTAGAAGCGGGGTGCATGAAAGGATACTAATCACCTTGTTCAGTCGAACGTGTGCCTCGTTACGAGGCACGTCGGCTGGGGCCTAGTGAGCCGGCCGACGTACCGTTCGCCTCTCCGCAACGTCATACTTGATCCTCGGCGCGACCACCAATCAATGAGCCTGAGGGCCGCGGCTTCCCCGAACCAAACATGCCGCAGAGAAACAATACAACATCGGTTCCGAAACCGTTCCGATCGCGTGAACTCTATGCGCTCGACGTCTTTCAAGCACCGCACATCAGTAAACGTTTGAGACATTTCAAAGTGCATATTGTTACCATCCATCATGGCGGTCACCAAAGACAATCGAACACTAGCAATACTCAATGCCGCTGCAAAAGGCAATTATGGCGTCATGGCTGCAATCGCGTACGAAGCTACTGTAAACGTCACTCTCAATTCTGACTGTTTCCAGCTACAACGTTGAGCAATTGACAGCCCTCGTTCGCGCGGCGGAATCGAAGCGATCGCCCTTGATAATCCAGCTGTTCCCATCGACCCTCAAGCAACTGCCCCTTCTCGCCCATGCGGCTGCGCATGCCGTAAAAACCGCAACAGTACCGCTATCTTTACACATCGACCACGCGCAGAATGTGGAGCACATCCGAGAGATCATCGCGACGCTACCGGTCGACTCAGTTATGGTCGACATGTCGCATTACGATGAAGCCGAGAATCTAGAGAAGACTCGGATACTGACCAAGGAGTGTCATGACAAAGGCATCGCTGTAGAAGCAGAGAGCGGGCGGATAGAAGGTGGCGAAGATGGTATTGCCGATACAGGAGATCTTGAAGGTATGCCGTTAGACTGACGACCATCATAAACTTCCTCCGTTTCTGACTTTGCGCAGCGCTCTTCACGTCGCCTGAAGATGTCGACAACTTCATCAACGCCGGTATCGATATATTAGCCCCATCAATCGGAAACGTACACGGCGATTACGGCCCCGCTGGTCCGAAGGAGGGACAACTACACTACGACCGCCTCGAAGCGATAGACAAGCAGATAAACAAGCGCGTCTTGGTCGCGTTACACGGCACCAATGACTTTCCTGCTGAAGTCATGCAAAGATGTATACGATCTGGCGCAATCAAGCTGAATGTAAACAAGCTTCTACTTGAGGTGGGAAATGAAGTGCTGAGGAAGCACGCACCAACTACTTCCCTAGCGAAGTTGATTGATATGCAGATAGAGGTCATACAGAAGGAGACGGAGAGGTGGATGGACATTTGTGGTAGTAGCGGTAAAGCTTGAAAGGGAAATAGACCAATGACACAACAGCATTGTACTGTTATATCGACCGAGCGTATCTTACTCCTCTATTGCACTACAGCGTGATGCTTCCAGACTCGGCTCATCGCGATCAGAGCAAATGTTGTATTGTTCTTGAAATTTTTGTGTTTATTACTCAATGCTGAGATGCGCTGTCAAACTGAGTATTCAATATCTCGAAAACGCAAGCAACGATCAACTGTCTTTGCAATTATTGCACGCCACAAAGACGCTCGTTCTTATTGATTTGTACGAAAGACTTTTAGCACACCCTAGCAAATACACTGTCTGTATAAATGCGCACCTATGAGTAGAAGGCCTAAAAAAGATCTTAAATTCCATGTTGGAAGGGCTGTTGTCAAAATGATGTTCCTCGTGCCCAAAGCACCGCTTCGCATCACACAGGCAGATAACGCGCCGCATGTCCACCCACACCCAAGTGCGCACTGCAACGCTGCCATGTGCAAAAGAAAGCAAAAAGAACACACGTCTGCAAAAAGAAGGTCTTGCCCGGAATCGAACCGGGGTTGCCGGAAGATACTGATTTTGAGATCAGAATCCGGAGTGATAACCGCTACCTGGAATGGTTATTAGCGGGGGCAAGCGAGAAGTGGAATGTTTGAAAACGTACACTACAGGACCGATACAAAATCACAATTTAGAAACAATATACCTAGTGCGATTGGAGTAAAAGCAGTGGGCGCAGGAGAAGGAACGATAAGCGCAGAGTTTTCTGGGTCGAGTTTTACCCCACCACCCAAACTCAACACTCAACCGTTTCGTTTTCTGGCCGGCAAAGTTTTCACCAGTCCCACATGCCAGGTTGGACCATCAGGCACTTTCTTAATTTAAACTGTAAATATTTACACTACAAATCTTCCGATTAGCATCAATCAAGCACAACAGCAGTTTCAACTGGTTTCGTAGTGTGCGCAAGAAAAACGATGTGTCTGCGCGACTACATATCACTAAGAGGTGAGGTTAAAGAGGTGGCTGAGTGACGCACGGCAGGTGTGCAGAGGAGGGCTCAAATGTTGAAAACGACCAAGGAACCTGATTTCAAGTAGATTGTTGATCAGGGAGCCTAAGGCCTACATCCTATCTACAGTCTTCTGCCTTCATGTTGATGAAAGGCCTCCCATTTTGCTTGTCCAGGAGGATTACGTCTCTGCAGCCAGATCAAGGACTCCATCGTCTGTCACTCAACGTCACCTTCCCTCGAAATCGTTAGGTTTGGCAGTGTGAGCTTTGGTAGCCTGACCGCCAACCTCATTTCGTGAGGTGCCGTCAGAGTATCCGGCCGCTTAACCGCTGTCCCTCTCCTTGCCGCCTCCTGTCTTGCCATCGGTTTGAGCATTGTCATGACCTGTGTCGAGACCTGCCAAGATATCCACGCTGGCGTTGTTTCCGCCGTTGTCGCCGTCGTCGTCACTGTCGCTGGCTTGATTGGGTCAGCATTGTACTAATACCAGACTAATACCAACTTAGAGATATACGTTGGGTTAGTGACGCTATCGTCAAGCACATCACGTAGGCCATAGTAGCACCCTGGTGCGTCGTCATCGTCTTCGGTCCAGTTCTCCGAGGACATACCGGGATAGTATTTCTCTATTAGGATAAATTAGCTGAGATTCCTAGTTGTTTTGGTGTTACTCTTACCAAGGTCTAGATGAGCAGCAGGCGCGCCATTCCCTATATATAGGTCAGTTGTAGACTACCGCTGCACCAATCCTCAACTCACACTCGTCGTCATCGCCTCTCTCCAAATCCAAACCTCTATCCTGCATCTCAGTGAAAAACTCGAGGTCGTCTTCGTCGGCAGGGGGATCTTCCTGGAAAATCTCCACGAGAAACTTGCAAGCTTCATCAGGCTCAATAGACTCAACCGCAAAACGACGAGGATCGAGTCTCTGAGCATCGAAGGGAGCTGGTAGACTAAAGGGGTGGTTCTTGACGGCGACCTGGATGGCATTGTCCATAAATTGTCCTTCTTTCTGCGCGAGGAATACGATGCCAATCCAGACACGCTCGATGCGGGAGAACGCGACGGATATTGGTGGGATTGGTAGGTTGGAGTCGCCATCAATCTCCATGATCTTGGCGCCAGAGTGGCCATGGAATATGCTCATATTATATGCTTCACGGATTGCCGCAGCCTTTCACTGTTAGTCCTGGCTAATACTAGTCTATTACCCACTTACTCTGTTCTGCGGTTCAATCGACAGATCCTCTTCATCTTTGCCGGTGTGAGAGGGGTCGAGGTATCGAAGATACGTCTAAAACTTTCTCAGTCGTGGTTGGTGAAGTAGTTTAGCATATATCACAAACCTTGAACCGACCGTTCGTCATCATATACACGTACTCGTCCCAGGTCGAACGCTCCAAGAGGTTGAACTTGTGCGCTGCACCTCGAACAACAATCGCCCAATATGCCTGGACCTCGGCCCATAGCTGCTTGGAGATGCGCCCAGCAGCATTTTCGTTCATCTCGTACGTGATAGCCTCGACTTCTTCATCAGTGATTGGTTGTCCAACTACAATTGTTGTTAGTCAATGACTATTACTTGGACTAATACCCAGCTTACGGTTCGAAAGTTCCGTATCATCCCAATCGAAGTCAGCGTCTGTATCGGCGGCCAATTTCTTCATGAGACCATTATCAACATGGTATGTGTCTTTCGCGTAAGGCACAACACAGTCAGGGGCATTCCAGCCGCCAGGATACTTATGCGTGAACTCTTGGGTGGCCGGCATCAAGTTGACAAAGACGATAAGCTGTCTGGCATAGTACTTGTCAGGGCTATCAAGGTACGTTCTCTTGGCTCTAGGGTTGCTGCCGAAGACCTGCGATGGGTGGCGACCGCTGGCAAACCTGTTTGGTTAGTGAATTCAATGCCAGACTGGCGTTCGCACGTACTGAATTGCAAGCTGGACATTCTTGGCCTGGATCTTAACGGCTTTTTCTATCTCGGCCCGCTCCGATTCAGTGAAGCTGTTCTCGACTAGCGGACGAACAGCATCGACAACGACCTTGACGAACTTTGATGTAGCCTATTACCTCTATTAGTAATAGTCTTCGTATTACACCGGTTGACTTACAGTGTTGCTCGCAGTCTGGGCTTTGAGTTCCTTCAAGTGTGTGCCTGTGGCTTCTTGTCTTCTCTTTTGGTTCTTCATAGTGTTCTTGTTCTGCGAGTACGTTCTGGGTCCAGATGTGTTCTTAGCTGGGTCTTTTTCCTTGTCCTCGAACTCATCCTCGGATGGGGATTCATCGCTGGGAGGCTCGTCAGATATAGGCTCTGGCGCAGGCTTCTTTGGCTTTGGTGTGATCTTGGTTTTGGGTGCCATCTTGTAGCGTAGAGTGTGGATGAGAAGCTCGGGTATTAGTCTGGGTGGTCTCGGTAATAGTTCGTGAGGGCGTGGTGTGTTCGAGAACTGGGATGGAGGAGTCGTAGCAGATGGAGGGACAGAGAACGCTCGTACTATGTAGTAGCGCTAGCGGCTGCTAGTCTTTCCCACGTGGTTTCTCCGCATTTGGGCGGTGAATACCAGTTTCTCTACCGTTACCTCCACGTGAACGGCGGCTGCCTAACACTCTGACGTAAGAAAGTCTCGTGCTGGCTACCTTCACTTATTATTCAGAATACAATCCCGCCCTGCTTCTCTCTTACCTCTGTCGAAGTCGCTTCCGTGCCCTCTTACTTGCTGAACCTGCTAGCAGATGTTATAATGCTAGTTTTAGTCCTTTTAATTACAATATATTCTCCTTTACCTTGCTGTTGTGAGTGCAAAATTAGTTGTAGTAATATACGAGCAAATCTCTGCAGCTGCGTTTTTGTAGGATTACCGATGTTAGATTTCCTTCTTACCTTTACCATCACCTCTACCTCCACCGTTACCTTCACCTTCACCTTCACCTCTGATTCTGCCTTTACCGCCACGCTCTTGTTTACAATATGTCTTGGCAGGTCGTCTACAATCCTCAACCTCCATCGTTCCTCTCCTCTACCTCTACCCACAATCTTATATTGCTAAATAACACTGCCGACACCCTTACTAGACATTACTTCCACAACTACGCCGATTATGGACATCTTTCGAAAGTGTAAGTAGAACGACATCAGTTTTATTTAGTCTGGTCGCTGGTACTAGTCTAGTATTAGTCTGGTATTAGTCTTGTGCTAACTCTGTTCAGTGTGTGGTCAACAGTTCGCACCAGATCCGGGTACCCATGCTAGCCCTAGTGGAGCTCGAAAGACTCTCCCGGGTTGTTATTTCGACTGCCCTGCTCGCCCCAAGCTAATCTTCGAGATGATCGCCTCAAACTTGGCCGATGTTCCGTTACTTCCGCCACGATCAGCCCAGGTAGATCCTCTCTCGGTCCGTCAGATGCGAACACAACGTCATAGAAACCATAAGGTCCTTCAGCGAGCCCCCACCACCAATGAACACGACAAGAAATTGTTTCAAGGCCGCATGGCAAGGGCTGTCTTGTTCGACCCAAAGAAGGCTCCTGCACCTACTAAAGAAATCCGTACGTCTATAAACGAATGAATATTAGACTATTACTGACTATTACCTAGCCCGTTGGGTTCAGGAAGTCCGTCACTACCAGATTCAGCCAGGTTTGCTCCTGCCCCGTATCGTCTTCATGAGACTCGTCCGCGAGATCGCCATGGACATCAACAGCGACGTTACTCGATGGCAAATCTCCGCCCTCCAGGCTGTCCAGGACGTCGCCGAAGACTACTTAGTCTGCGTATTGGAAGGTAGGTCAGACCCTATAGTATTAGTCTGGTATTAGTCCTAACATCAATAGCTGCCACCCTCTGCACGGCGAATGCGAAGAGAGACACGCTATTGCCATCTGACATCGAAACAGCGATGGGATGTGGAAAAAAGCTGGGTCGATGGCAGCAAGCTGTTGAGGCGCATAACTTCAAGGCGAGCCGTGCACATATGCTCGAAAGGCGTAAGCGCGCTCTCGAGGACCCTGAGCCTACTTTCCGAGCTGGTAAACGTCCTGCAAGGCCTGCCTAGTTAGCACTCAGACCGGTCCAAAGCCTTCGAGAAGAGTATTGGGTATGGGTGAGTAAGAACATCATGGCAACTACGAAGGACCTATAGCTTATCGATTTATAGCTTAACAAGTCATATGGTATCTGGATTTCTGTTTTATTGCCCGTGTCTAGGATTCCTACCTCATGGATCGTGCCTACCACGTAGGTAATGAGTGAGGAAGGAGCGCAAATTTTCGTGGCAAACCTTCAGATCTTCAAACCTCGACCTTGGTCTCAACTCTCTCATCCATGATACACCTCTTATGTCGACCGTACCGGTCTCGACTACATAGCGATGTCCTCAGATAAGAAGCGCGCCGCTGACCTCCCAACAACTGAACCTGAGTCGAAGAAGAAGAAGGTGACTCCCGACCCTCAATATCACCCTCACACTATCCTGGAGCACGTTATTCGCGAGATCATCCCGACGAGGTGGATGGACAGCAGTAGCAAGCGTGGGCTGTACCAGACGGTTACTACTGATCCTCAGGACGCCATCACGAAATGCAAAGATATGATCGCGCCGTGGGTTGTCCAGTACTACGAGGACGGATTGTTGTACGACCATGAGCAGTATGTGCCGAACATACACAGCAGCATCATCACTTCACTATCCTTATACTAATACCGTACTAATACCGTACTAATACCGTACTAATACCGTACTAACACCGTACTAATACCGTACTAATTACATTGTAGTCTGCGAGAGAAAGCCGTCTCGCATCTGCAGTTCGGCCCAGGTCTGTACATCGGAATAATGCGGATCCCTTCTTCTTCGTGGCGTCGTTATGTTGGTCAATCGATAAATTGCAACCATCGCGTACACCACAACCACGAATCTGCGACATACCGAAAATCCCATCCCTCGCTTCACTACGAGTACCACGAGATAGCAGAGGAGATCTTCTGGCTGGACCCTGCTTTCGTGCCTCATTTCCTCCCAGCAGGACTTTTGAACATCATGGAGCTTTGGCAAGCACTAGTCTTCCGGTCACTCCAGGAATCAGACCTGAAGGACATGCTTCCTGAAGGAGGTAGGGGCATAGCAGACTCCGAATTGGGGCTTGGAGCCAATGTTCGAAACCCTCTGGCACAAGGTCTTACATTCCGAGAATCTCCCGACATGGGGTACTACCGCTTCAAGAATTCCCCCGATCCCATCAAGCAAGCATACTTTGAAAAGATGAGGAGCCGTAGCACAGACATCCGCTGGTGGTCCGACAGAGATGCTAAACGCCAAAGCTTGCTCCGTGGGGACATCTACCAAGGAACGTTTGGTCCCAGCTTTGGCACTCTGAAGGGAGCAGGAGAAGATCGCATGTTCACTATTCAATATGCATACATTCTCTTCGGAACAACTTTCTGGCGACGATGGGACGAGTCGACCATTCGTGTGAAGTGTGAACTCGCACCAGAAGGAGAGATGCATCCCCATTGTGTCGTTCGGGGCTGCTATTTCCTCGTCAACGACCCTGCGCGGCGACTGGGAATTCGGATATCGGGCATCATGAAGTGCAATGGTGAGGAATCCTTCTGCTGGGTCAACATGTGGGGCGATCAGACGACTATGCGTATTAACAGTCTGGTCGATTTCCTTCTCGATCGGCCAACCGATATTGATGAGCCCCGCCGTTTTCTACCTCGCAACATCTGGGTTGGTCGTCCTAAGGGAATCTACACCAGCAAGGACTTGCGCGATGGCTACGACTACGTTAGTGTGCTGAGAAAGTATGACGAATCATTCGAGGAGTGAGCGGACGTTGTTGTATTATGATATTAATGCATCTCGCGAAGGTGGATGGTGGGGTGAACTGCTGTAACTAATACCACGACTAATACTACGACTAATACTACGACTAATACTACGACTAATACTACGACTAATTGCGAAGCGAGCTTGCGAGCGAAGCAATCTACTTCAGAACTCAATCGTTCAAAACTACGACAGGGGTCCGCAGTTAGGTCTAGCGTAGGTTCCTATTTGAACGAACCCGACGTTCTGCCGAAAATTGATCTTTTTTTCGCCTGTGCGCAAGGCTAATACCGCCTAATACCTGGCTCGTCCTTAGCACCCCCTTTTGAGCTCTTATCGTCTCCTTCTATCGTCCTCTTGTTTAATAAACTAGCTATGCCTCCTACTCTGCCTCCTCCTGAGTGTCGCAAGTGCGGCAAAGAGCTTAGTGTTGCTACAGATACCTTTCGATCTGGAAAGTGGAAGCAAAGTTGTTCTGCTTGCCTATTGCCTGCGCGTATATACTAGCGCAACAACGCGTCTACAACCGCAAAGCGCCAACGTCTTGCAGAACCTACTGAACCACGCCACCTACCTTCGCCATCACCGCCTGAGGTTCAATCGCTGACGCCTGTTCGCCTAAACCCCTTATCGTCGCTCCTTCGTACGCAAACCCCGCTGCGAGTATCGTCTCTAGCAAACGTCCCTACTACACAGTTAGACACGCGTTCTTCGTCTACATTATGGCTCGATGGTTTATTTGAAGATATACTAGCAAGCTCAGCGCCTTCGCCGTCGAATGAGTCTATGGGCACTAGAATGTCAACAACAAGATATACGCCTATAAGGTCTTGGAACGCAAGCTCGTTATATGGCACTACGTCTGTGTTCGCGTCTCAGTCAGAACTAGAAGCAGCAGAGGGTGACAATGACTTTGGTATTAGTCAGGGTATTAGCCTTGCCGATCTCGAATCTGCGGAGCGCTATATGTACAACATGCCCTGTACACCACCTCCTTTGAACCTAGAAGACACTGAGCTTCTCAACACCGACGCTCTGTTAGACTCTGACAAGGTCTTGATTACTAAGTTTTATCCCGAGATCGCAAAGATTCACGTTGACACTTGCAACACATGCAACCGCACGTAGTTTAGGTTAGATGTGTTTAACAGTGAATGTTCTAATTGTTTAGATGATTAGATAAAGAACTCTACTACTAAAGGTTTTGTACCGCTCTTTGGTTGTTTAAACAACCTTGATCCTGGGCCTATGCCGCCTGAGTTGCCTACCTTATCGCCTATTGAGGAGATGCTTTTGGCCAGAGTCTATATATTTATGGAGGTTCGACAGCACCGTAGATTGCAATATAAGTACCGCGGCCATATATGTAACTTTTCAGTTAACACCGCCAAGGTCTTTGATCGTCTACTATTACTCCCCTCTCATCTCGACATTATCATCCTTAAGCCTCCTCCTACACCAGACGACGATCCTGATGCAGTCAATCGCCAATTTCGGAAGGATTACAAGGTCCGCAGAGCTGTCGTTATGCAGTGGCTTCTTTTTTTAATAGCGAATCACCCTGGCTACTCCGACGTTTTAGTTAACACCTCTACGCTTGACGCTCTTCTAGAGGACGACTACGTCGATGACCAACTTACAACAATTGTGCGCGATCCATCTATACCAGTCGTACAGTCCTAGCAGTCGTCTCTAGCGCGATCATCTAGTAACCCACGGGATCTATCGCCAAGTCCTGCACAGGACAGCGGATTTGGTCGTTCAAGCAGTTATGGGGCGTCAGTGTGGGACGATCTTAATGCAGAAGACGACCTCCCGCCTGAGGTTGTAGTAGTTCCTGATATGCTAGCTGACCTTACTGAGTTTGTCGCTCTCCGACAGCAGATGCAGTCTAACACGCGTGAAAACTTTCTTTCTATGGGGTCTATTCGCCGTACGCCTATAGCAGACTTAGATGCAAAAGAAAGGTGCTTGTCTCTTGCATTTCCGTCTCTGTACCTAATAGGGCTGGCCGAATTTGTTCAGCCTCGACTACGAGATATTAGTTATCAGTCCTATGTTAAACTTATGCTGTGCTATCGTGACGGGAGATTTGCCCGCCACCCGCGCTTTTGGTACGCTGCCTTTAACACTATTATGCGTCGACAGTCATAGGAAAAAGTAGGATTTTTTGTAAAACGCTACGCAGGCAGGGAAGAGATGACTTTAGAAGAAATTCGCGCGGCATTTAATGGCGACGATGGAGGTCAGCAACTAATTGATTCTGTTGTACGTTGGTCAGCGACAGTTCGCGGCACCAGAGCCTTCTGGACCACTGAAGGAAAGAAACTGGAAGCTATGGTGCGTATCTAATACCGGTCTAATACCCGGGCTGCGTTCAGGGTTCCTGCTAACTTCTTGCAGGTCCGCCAGTTACACGCTCCGCACCTCTTCATTACTCTCTCTGCTGCCGATTATCACTGGGATGATTTATTACGCTTCATGCCGCGGTACGAAGAGTGGAAGACTGCAACATCTGCTAGGCGTGCCCGCCTCGCCCAGGATTTCGTGAGGGACAATCCCCACCTCGTCGCATATTACTTCCACCAGCGATTTGAGCTATTTAAGAAGCATGTCATTATTCTAAAGTTTAATGTCGTGGATTCTTGGGATCGTTATGAGTGGCAGGCTCGCGGTAGTACGCATAGTCACGGCCTTTACTATTGCAGCGGTGTTCTAGATCTGGACAGGGAGCTTGGCCCTGATAGGTCCGAGTTCAGTATCGCACAAGCAGCAAGGTACTGGGGATATCACATTTCAGCTATGCATCTAGAACCTAACCCGCAGTCTCTGCTAGATGAAGGGTCAGTTCTCGCGCTCCCTTTTGAGGAGATGAAATGGACTTTCGGCGAGCTAGCGTCCATTCTTGCGCGTTGTTATGAGCACCGCTGCACTACAGCGTATTGCCTCCGCAAAGACAAGAACAGTGGCTCTAAGGTTTGCCGCTTTGATGCGCCTTAGGCAACTCGCCTAGAGCCAACATTTGAGCAACCTCTAACAAAATCCTTCTTGCGCTTTTATGCTATGCGCAACTACTCCCGCCTAAACGCATATGTGCGACTATTACCCCTAGCATAGCGGGCTAATACTGATGTCTAGGTCTGTACAAGCATAGCTAGTGTTGTACAGTACATGGGAGTTTATGCTGCTAAAGGCGAAACCCAGTCTCAACCGTATAAAGAGATTGCGCTTTAGGTTCTACTATATGTTAAGCTAAACTGGTCTCTACTCTCCTTCGCCTCGCGTATTATTAACAAGTTAATTGGTGAGCGGGACTACAGCGCCCAAGAGGTTATGCATAACCTGTTTGGACTGCTATTAGTACACTGCTCTCGTACTGTTATCAACGTTGACTGCCGCCTAGAGGATGCCCAGACGACGTCGTATACGTTTCGACAAGGTGGCGACCCTAACCTAGACACAACTACTAATAATACAGCTGCAATTACTCGGGGAACATCTCTCTACGCAAAGTATAAAGATCGGTCAACGTCTCTAGAGGACGTGTGCTATTTGGACTTCTTACTACACTTTACTCACCATGGGCGACAGTTTAAGCGTCGACTAAGAGCTAAGCCACGTGTGCTTAATTTCTTACCTCGGTACAGTCTAGTTGCGCAACCTGAGGAGTTTGCTAGGGTCAAGTTAATGCTGCATCACCCCTTTCGGAACATTAGAGACGTCTAGATTCTGCACGGTCGTGTGTTTACGTCTTACACAAGTGCCTACTAGGCTTGCAGAGAGGAATGTGAACATAGCTTGAAGGACTCGTACGGTGACCCTGATCCTGGTGTTGAGGAAGAGGATCCAAATTTAGAACCTGTGGAACCTGTACAAGAGTCATCTTTCGATGAGCTTGCTGGAAGGCGACCAGGATCTGGTGGGGAATTGGTGGAGGAGGATCGTATCGGCGACCGGCCTAGCGATCGCGTTAAGGACTGGACTGCAGTCCAACACGTGGATCCTTACGATCTAGACATGCGCACTTATTGGCCAAATGCAAAAAGAGACTATCCTGTTAGGGTGACTAATACCCAAGCTAATACCTAGTCTAATACCCAGGCTAATACCCTGCAGGAAAAGCAGCGCATATTATACGACTTAGTTGTTAACCACTTTCAGGCCTCCCTTAATGGTCAATCGCCACCGCAACTTCTCGTTCAGCTAGATGGACAGGGAGGTACAGGGAAAACGTACCTCATTGAGTGCCTTTCTCTGTCCTTGGAGCACACAGCGTCGCAAGCTGGGCTTCAGTCTCCTGTTATGCGCTGCGCTCCTACTGGTGTTGCTGCATTCCTTATCTCTGGATATACTATCAATGCCCTGTTTCGCATACTAGTAATGTCCGCGTATGCGCAATTGGATCCGCTTAACGCTACTGGACGGCAGCATATCCAGGCGGTCTTTAAACACATTCGCTATCTTATTATCGACGAGAAGTCTATGGTCAGCCTCCATATGCTTACCTCTATCCACAGCCGCTGTGGTTAGATCTGGCCTAGTCAGGCGCATCTCCCTTTTGCTGGTCTAAACGTAATTTTGTCTGGCGACTATTATCAACTCCCTCCTGTTGGACGCCGGGCATTATTTGATTACTCGTCTAGAAAAGACCCTTTTGAGGTTCATGGTCAACATCTATATCGGGCGTTTAAAAGAACTGTTGTTTTAGATACAGTTCTACGCCAGCAGGGTGAAGCACAAGCTAGGTTCCGTGATGCCCTGCAGCGACTTTGGACTGGCGGTTCTACTCAGAATGATTGGGCGATGTTTATGACACGCTGTCGAGCCAATCTCCCCCACTCTGATTATGCTTCTTTCCGGCACGCAATTCGATTATGTGGCCGGCGTGCTGATGTGTCCCGCATCAATCATGAGAGTATCCGAGATTGTGGCAGTCCAGTATTAGTCGTATTAGCCCAGCACGACCAAGCCGCGTGGGCATCAGCTTCTACAGATGAAGCCAGCAATCTACCAAATCAATTGCCTCTATGCATTGGTGCAAGAGTTATGATAACAACAAACGTTTGGACAGAAAGAGGGTTGGTAAACGGTACTACAGGTATCGTTGACAACATTCTATGGGATAGTAGTGTGACCAATCCACGCGAGACGATGCCTAAGGCTGTACTTCTCGCTCTCCAAGATTATAGCGGCCCGAGCCTCTATACACGCGCTGATGGTCAGGCTGTTGTGCCTATCTTCCCAGTACTGCGAGACTTTTACTAGAACAAGATGTGTTGTTCTCGCCTGCAGTTTCCTTTGTCTCTTGCTTAGGCTATTACAATTCACAAGTCTCAGGGTATGTCTCTTCGTCGGGCATTAATTCAGTGTGACAGGGACTTTGTTCCTAGTCTGTTATATGTCGCTGTCTCTCGTGTAACTAGCTTAGAGGGCCTTATGTTTGATGAACCTATGTCATTTGTTCGCTTACGCGGAAAGGACGGCAAGGTAGTACAGATGCGGAAAAAGGATGAGGAGCGGCGGGCTAGAGAGCTAGTTTCTCTATCCTAGGCGGGCTTCCTTTGAGGTTTTCTTCCGCGGTATTAGGCCTAATACTAGCAATTTGCTATATGGCCACTTAATCCTCTTGTCTTATCTGCATAGCAGTCATCTTATCACTTTTCGCCTGTATTGCCTCCTTCTGCCGTACCCGAACACTCGACGCCCTCCATTGGGTCGACGCCATCAGTTGTTCCCTGAATCTCCTCCATAGCGTTGTTCTCGTTGAGTAAGCCATGTTGAAATGACTCTTCATCGATCAAGTCTTCTTCAGACAAGCCCTCTAGAAGTAACCCCTCGTTGTCTGTATCCGTATTCAACGTTAGTTGCGTCTAATACCAGTCTAATACTCCACTTACTATGACCCTGATCCTCCTTTGTGTACTCCCTCTCGAACTGAGTTGTCTTGGTGGTATCAATCACCTGCTGGTCGTCTTCTGAGTTATAGTCCTGCTCAAAGTCTGATACAAGTCCATCAAACCAAAGATCTGCATTGAATTAGCGTGCATTTAGTTCTCTTTCATGCGTGATATCTTACCGAGCTCGCAGTCATCCTCATCCTCATCCTCATCCTCTTCTGAATCCCCCTCCTCTAGACCTGTTTATTTGTTAGTACATTTGCTAATACCAGTCTAATACCAGTCTAATACCAACTTACTTTTCGAAGTATCGTTGTCTTCTAGATCTATACCAAGCTGTGGCAGCTCGATGTATCGGTCTACGTCGTCGGGGCGGTCATGTGGGTTGCCTATTTCGTACAGCATATCGGCAGCCTCCTTTGCGTCGATGGTCAAATACGGAAACTTCCTACTAGAGAAGGTTTGATCTTCAAAAGGCGGAGGAAGCCGATGAACTTGTCCCTTAGATGCGAGTTGCAGGAGTCCGTCCACCTCATAGTAGCCGCCGAGCTGCGCGGCTATGATCAAAGCTATTATGATTCTCTCGTTTCGGCGAAAAAGTAGTGAGAAAGGAGGGACCGGCAGTTCAGAGTCTGAGTCGAATACAATGTCTCGTTTGTACTTGCGGGTGGTCTTCTCCCAAGCTTCTCTAATAAGATCAACCTATAGATGTTAGCTTTCGGGCTAATACTCTGCTAATACCAAGGTGTATAGCTTACCCTTTCGCTGCGCAGTGGCATAGTCTCAGTGTAGTCGTTGAAAATGAAGTCAAGAAACGACTATGTCAAGTCAGTTTTGTAAACCTCTGCTTGCGGCTAGGATTTTGTTGTTTACCTTGAATTTTGCGCCAGTCATCTGTTCAACGTATATATCGAACGGATACTTGCATAGGAGGTGTACTTTTGCAGCTGCGTTCCTGGCTGCCTGCTGCCAAAAAGTCTGGAGAACACCCCAGTATCCATCGATTGCGGACTGCTCTCTGTCGTCGCTTCCAACGTATGCTGTCCACTTTTGGGCATCTTCCTCAGTCATGACTGTTGTGCAGCGTTAGTAAAGGCTAATACTAAGCTAATACTACACTCACATTGCTCCTCGTCAACCTCGCCAGCAGCGTCAGTTTCTTGGGCTACTGCAGTCATGGTGCCGTTATTGTGGATCTCCATGCGGTATTTTGCCGCGTTCTGTACTGATTGAGGCGGCATGAACTGTTCGTGTAGCTGGTATACAGTTTCCTGAGCCGCAAGGTACTGTGGGAGTTCACCCCACTCGCTCTTGTTGCCATAGCGTAAGCGTCCAAGCTGGGCAAAGTGCTTCTGAGCATTCCACCTGTACTTTGTCAATACTGACTAATACCTGCCTAATACCAACATACCGAGCCGCGGTGGCAGCGTTGTTGCTCTGTCTGCGGAATGACTTCTCTAGAGTGGCCTTCCTAGCTTCGTCTGATTGTGCATCTAGAACGTGTTGGATGGCGGGCTTAAACTTCTTTTTCCAGAAATCTGACATAGCCTAGAAATAGTTAGCTTACATTTTCTGCTGTAGAAAATAACCTTGCCTTGTTTGTAGCGATTTGGGCCCTAATCTCCTCAAATTTAACATTGTCGTTCGCCTTGGCCTTCTCTATGCGTGCCCTGTTCTTGACTGTACTCGCGTTTGTAGAGTAGGCACTCTTCTTAGGTAGCGAAGGCTTTGGTGGAGTTGATTTGTTTGGCGGATCGCGCGATGTGAAGCTGGTGAGGCCTGGGGGGCTGGGGGTAGTAGTAGGTGGCATATTGGGCGTATTAGCCTGTAATAGTCCGTGTAGGGGCGTGGTCACTAGTTGGGTAGGTTTGTGTAGGCAAGGAGAGAGAGCGTTAAGGAGTTCAGCAAAAGTAAAAGCTTGGGCCACATTCTGTTTGTCGCCCCACTTATTACCCCACAGTTAGTGAAGGTGAAGGTAAGGGTAAAGGTATAAATCTTTTTCTGCTGCCTTTGCGTACACTTGATTGCTACTGTCTAATACTATACTAATACTCTGTTCTATGTAGCTTTAGCAGTAACGCTATTTTTATTGCTAATTCGCGTTCTTTCTGCTCTACTATGTTATTCTATACTGCTGCTGTAAGGTTTAGGTCTTGCCTTAATCTTCACCTTCACTTTCACTTTCACCTTTACCTTCACCTTCACCTTTACTTACTGCTGCCTAAAATGTTTGTTTGCTGTTGGGATAATCTTGTTTACTATTGTCGTTACTCTGTCTCCTTCCTACTACTTACTCTCTATCCAACCCACCTACGCATACGACCCACGCCTAGCACAGCTAGCACCGTACACCACCACCATGAGTAACAGTATGTGTTAGCTAGTATTAGCCAGTACTAGTCTGTATTAGTCTGTAGCTAACCTGCGTCAGTGTTCGGGTTTATGCATCGCCCTCCCAATACTGAAGGTCCTCTCGAGAACACTGGGCGTCCTACTACTAGTGGGAAGTCTACAGGTGGTTCCGTTCCCCAGATTTACTCGGCCTACCAAGATGTCCAGCTTAGACACGATCGGATGGCTTCTCCGCCGCCAGTGCCACGCGCACCCAGCGTCCTACCTAGTCCAAGCCCACCACCCGAGGCCCGCCAAACTCGCAAAGGACAACCTTCTGATCCCGCTAAGGCGCCTCAAGTTTTGGCCGGCAACACAGCGCCTGGCTTCCGTACAGTGTTCTCTGGGAAGAAAGTACCTCGATCTTCAGACGTGGCTGGCAAGTCAGTACCCAAGCCTCCAGGTCTGGCTGGCAAGAAAGTGCCTAAATCAACTCCTACCAAAGTTGCAAAGAAGACCGCCAACAGGGTCAAGCCAGGTGTGGCCATCAAGTACAACTACGACGCCGACAAAGCACCTATATTCAGGGGACATGTAACCGGAGGTCGGACCGTCACTGACGAGCGTAAGTCTAATACCGACTAATACCGAGTAATGCTAATGCCGTCCTGCAGAGTACTGTGAACAAGAAATCGCCCACTACCAGCGTACCACCGGCCATCTTATTCCTAAGATCAATATAGTTATGCTCACAAAGATCGTGATGAAGGCTTTTGAGGGCGAGTACCCCGACGGCCACAGCCAGAAGGCTGTCCGGATCACTGGCGAGGCTCTGGATATTGTTCATGAAGCCGTTGAAGAGATGATCACAAGTTTCCTCATTGGTATGTATGCAGTATTGGTATTAGTCTGGTATTAGACTAACTTTTCCTCAGCCGGCCAAATTATCGCTGAGTCACGTAAGGTTAAGACTGTTACGCCCGCAGACCTGAAGGTTGCCGTGAGAGCCGCTAGGGTGCTTGGCCCCTATTCGCGTCTGCTGGAGGAGCACGACTTTGGCGATCCCGAACAACGTGGCTATGTTCGGGGTCCGGTCCTAAGTGGTGAGGTTGTTTCTCCTCTACGTCCTCGAGCTACTAGTGACGCTGCTTATCTTCGACGTTCTCAAGCTCCTGTTGAAGCTGCTCGTCCTCGACGTACTAAGGCTACTGTTCAAATTCCTAGTGATGATAGCGAGGATGGGGGCGAGGATGATATCATGCAGGAATAACTCAACAAAGAACTGTCGGCTGAGTGCTAATACGCTTAGTGTGAAACTAAGTCTGATTCTCGCTTTTAAAAGGTTAGTATAGCTTCTATAGCCTAAAGAATTAAGTTCGTTTCTTGACGTTATCAATATGCTTGCAATAATAGTATTAGTCTAGTATTAGGCTAGTAGCTACAAGCTACTAGAGCTCGCTTCGCACTACTATTATGTCTTTTTACATAATAGCATGTTTATACTATAACTACTACCAATCAAGATTCCTGTGCAGTGTCCAATCTAATTAGTGACGTATCCTCTAGCGGCTACGTAATGTGGTTCTATGTATTACTATGTTTTGTTTTGCATCGCAATTAAGCAAAATAACGCTTTTCGCTCTACCCCACTACCGCCAACCATCGCAGACGCCGAAAACGCGGAACACCTCTTGGGAGGCTCTCCGTTCAGCCTGCTACAACGAGTGTGACAGAAGAGGCATAGGTATGCATCGATAGATTGTACAGGAGCCTACAATAATACTGAAAGCTACACCCCTTGTTATCCCTTGCCTTTGTAGACTGTAACGCAGCAGAAGAGCTGGCTGAGAAGCGTTTAGTTTCTTCTTTGTAACAGGTACAGGTACTCGCGCCCGTTATAAACGCCAACACCCACGCAACGTAGTGCTGCTTCAAGTTGTCTAATCCCCTATTCTCAAGCTTTATCTGATCGTAGAACATCTGAAGCTCGAGCGCCCCCAGGTTATTCTTTTATCTATATTCGGTAGACAGTTCTTACTCTACCGCGATGAGGCGGATATGTCCTGACACGCGGGTGTGGAATTCGGTACTAAAGGTAGAGAAAGTAGGTGTGAAGACCTTGATCCACCATTCCAAGGCCTGGCGCATTTGAGTCAGAGTATTCATCTGCATCTTATCTTGTAACATTACTTTGGACGCTCTCGACATTCCTTCGAGGAAACGCAGCAAAACTCCTCGAAAGTGTTTCTCATGTGGAGTCATTGGTGAGTTCTTACCACTTCTCGTCGACGTCTATCGGGTGGAGAGTGTATCCACAACGAGGGCGACCGAGGCGTTGATTGGCAGGATACCAGCGACGAGGTCGCAATTCTTTGGTATCGAGACCACCAAGCCAATCGACAAGCCTATTCAAGCGTGGAGTGGCTTTGTCGGCACTCCCGTCCATCCATCTTACTGTCATCACTATCGAGAATACTCTATTACAAGCCGCCTGCTTGTAGCATACACGGGAAGTAAGCGCGTTGTTTCCATACGTCTCAGTGGACCCTGGAGCACTTCACACATTCTCGCACTTGATCAGGAGATCACAGAATACTGTGAGGACCTTTAGGCACACTTTTCGTTATGCTTCCCTGAACTGCAGGTCTTGCGTTCTATATGGACAGTGGAATCGATTCGCATCATTTGATATCGATGCCGTTCAGACTCCTCCACCCCAACCCAATATCAGGTACACTACTAGTCCCAGTACTGCGTCCCAACCTAGCGCTTTGACTGCATACCCGCCATTTCCTAAGGATCCCAAAAGACCACCAAATGTGAGATCCTTCCTCATCATTGCGGCATTTGCTACCGCGAAGCCCCCGGATACGGTGATGCACTTGACTACATCTGCGTCCCTCAGGCTCATGGTTGAGGAGTACGGAAGTAATAAAACAGCGCGTGTTACAAGGATTAGTAAGCTGAATATGGAGTTGGATCGCAGAGCCGGAAGAGCGAGTAGAGCCGCATTGAGAAGAATGTTCGGAATTTGCAGTGTTGCTATCGGTTTGCGACGCTTAGGCGCTGGATCGATTTTAGTCGCGTCGCTTGCAGCTGGTGTGGGAGCTACATCAGGAGATGAAAGATGCAGCTGGATGAGGAAAAGTGAGACCGCGAAGGAGATGGGTAGGATCTGCCCGAGTAAGATGTACGTGCGCATCCTTGCGGTATCGTATCGGCGCGCTCTTGCTATATATAAGTTAGAATACCCCAATCTATGTGACTTGTGAATAGCATACCCTTCTGCCCCGTGTATATGTTCCAGAACCATGTCGCTAAGATCGCGGCCTGAGTCCATACCGCGTTCGGCGCGTCTTTGACCAGATCCTGCGCAAAATCCTGAAATAGGGTGGACTCCAACATCCACCTCTTTAATTTTTCCACGCTGACATTGCTGAGGCTGCGGCTCTTGTCCCCACTCCATTCCAAGTAATGGGTAATCAGGAACATGAGCATGTGGTAGGATAACGTTGCGAAACTTATGGAAGCGACAAACGCGTAGATCTTAATGTGACGCGCTCGCGCCGCCTTCGCTGCACCGAGTTTTTCATCATTTGCCGTGCTGGACGCGTGAAATATGACTGTATATTGGGAGTACAGCGAGTAGATAATCTTAATGGTCGCGTAAAGTGCTGCGACAATGTAGGAGAGGAAGATGGTGGTACCAATGTAGCTGTTGGGTGGTGTGGCATAGTATGCCAATGCATCATAACCGGGGATATCCATTTCGGCCGTCGAGATCAATTATAAGATTTTGAACATTAGCAAGGAACATGTGCGATATGCGGGCTGTATATATTGTCTAGCCAGAGAGGTTTCAGAAGTGTGCGATGATGCCTGACGTCATGACACACTGGCTGTCTGAGAAAGTGTTTTACAGGCAACAGAAATTCGGCGACGCACACGTTTCTGCGACTCTCCTCCTCGATCAACCAACGTAAAACCATCAAGAACTGCTTAATTGCCTACGTACAAGCTCTAAGAATCATCGTTGAAGCCGCTCGTCGCACTGCTCAAATCCGTGTCACCTTCCAGACTCTAGGGTTCCCAGCCTCGTTAGATCGACTTCTTGCGTCACGACGCAGCGCACAACACCAACTACACTATTCTACGTGCTATACAACCACTGTGTATATGGATTCGCTACCCAAGAACTATCATGATTGCGGTGCGATAGTTTTGGCATCAGAACTGTTTTGACAACGCGTCGAGAAATTGCTTATGTGCGCATTGCATCACCACCCACTATATCTCTTGAGAAGAGAACTCCGACGGTTCTCGTAGCGCGAATGAATCTGTAGGGGTTGCAATATTGGATGCAAAGATTGATGACTCGACGCCTTGGTGAAGCGAATAACATGATTCGTAAGTATGCTACAGAACCACGGGCTCGTCAACAGGAAGGTCTTGGTACATGCTATGGCTGGAGTCATCGATGCTCAACACCATAACTCGGGTCCAGGCATCCAGCAGTATCCATAGTGGTGCCAACCCCGCAGTTTGTGACTCATGCACAACTGCTGTGGGAGTACCAGTGACATCACGTGCTCTTCCAATAGGAGGTCTAGGTTACTATGCAGGTACTTACTTGGGAAGATGCAGCGGGAATTATATCCACAGTTTCTGCCAAGATATATCAGGCAACCACCGAAAAGACGAGGTATATCAGGGGCTTGTCGTCCGTTTTCCAGCTGAATCACATCTTCACACTTTTTCGTGTTAACCTATCCCCACCTAGTCTCTGCCAGGTCAGACTAGGGTAAAGACACAGCCACAACCATGCCCCCTCGCTACCACTCTTCCCGTCATGTCTGTGGCTGTTATGTATACCATTCTGAGACATCTGAGCGGACTTACCTTCCTCAGGTAAAACTTGATGCTCATACAACGATACTTTCAACGGCCGCCCGCACCGTGCTGACGCAGACATTCGTCAACCGTTCGAGAGAGGCATTGAATGAGATCCGGTTCGTGTCTACCCACAGCTGAGATGCACGCCACTTTGACAAGGCCATCCATTAACACTACACAGATATGCGTTCCCGCTATTCGATGGTGTGAGTGTCGTTGAGTTCTTCTGCCAGATCGGCGAGCGCACCATCTACGGTCTGGTGAAAGAGAAGAACGAAGCCAGGAAGACCTACGAGGAGGCCAAGGAGCGTGGCGAAAGCGCAGCGCTACTTGAGCAACTGCCTGACGCGGCGGATGTTTTCACAACTTCTATCAGCAATATTCCAAACGGCGCATCCGTACAAGTATCCGTCAAGTACGTGCAGGAATTGAAGCACGATGCTGAAGTCGATGGTATTCGTCTCACCATCCCCTCGTCAATCTCGCCCCGTTACGGATACTACCCAGGAAAGCTTCAAGAAACCTCAGCAGAGATTGATTCCAAAGGAATCTCTATAACAGTGGATGTGAACATGGCGCAAGGGATTCCTATCAAGAAAGTCATTTCCCCATCACATCCCATTGAAGTCACCCTCGGATCGTTATCAACCAGTGCCAGCGACGAAGATGCTTCAATTTCGAGAGGCTCTGCCACACTCGCCTTGGGCACCACTGAACTAGAAAAGGACTTTGTCTTGCAGGTGGTTGCGAAAGACATCGGTATACCTCAGGCGATCCTCGAAACACACCCGACTCTCACCAATCAGCGCGCATTGATGACGACATTGGTGCCCAAATTTAACATCAAGTCGCAAAAGCCCGAAGTTGTGTTCATTGCAGATCGTTCCGGTAGCATGGAAGGCCATATTCCCACTTTGAAGTCGGCGCTCAAAGTGTTCTTGAAGTCGATTCCCATCGGCTGTTCATTCAACATCTGCTCATTTGGAAGCAGTCATTCGTTTCTTTGGCCGGAGAGCCGGATGTATGACCAGGATACACTTACTGAGGCTATCCGACACGTCGAAACGTTTAGGGCAGATTTTGGCGGTACAGAGACTCTCGCTGCGGTCAAGGCCTGTTTTGAAGCTCGCAATACTGGACTTCAAACCGAGCTCATGCTGCTCACCGACGGCGATATATGGTCCCAAGAACAGTTGTTCAACTACGTGTCCGAGAACACGAAAAGTGGCGACGTCCGTGTATTCCCTATTGGAATCGGTAGTGGCGTCTCTAGTGCGCTGATCGAAGGCGTTGCGAGGGCAGGGAGAGGTTTCGCTCAGATGGTTGCCGACAGTGAAAAGCTCGACAGCAAGATCGTCCGGATGCTCAAGGGTGCACTCACGCCTCATATCAAAGACTACCGTCTCGAAGTCAAATACGAAGACGGCAGCGTTGAATCCGTCGCTGACAGCCTCCGTGTGAAACTCAGTATTGCAGAGGAACCAGAAAGCAAAGCTACTGTCCCCGAGACGAAGCCTATCTCGCTTTACGACCCTGACGTCCAAGAAGAGCATCCCAAGGACGGTGAGCCAAAGAACATCTTCGCAGGTCTACCGGAACTCAAGCGCCCGACCCTTTTGCAAACACCTCATGAGATACCATCATTATTCCCGTTTAACCGTACTTGTGTCTACCTCATCATGTCTCCAGAGTCATCGCACCTGCAGCCGAAGAGCGTGGTACTCAGAGGTACCTCACCTCAAGGCCCACTAGAGCTCGAGATTCCGGTCGAAGTGCGGAAGGACGCCGACCAGATGATTCATCAGTTGGCGGCGCGCAAAGCAACACAAGAACTTGAAGAAGGCCACGGTTGGCTGTCTGAGGCTACTGTTGACGATGCAGGCGTACTGGTCAAAGACAAACATCGCACCCAGTTCCCTCTGCTCCAGCGACGTGAGGCTGTCCGTCTCGGAGTTGAGTATCAGGTTGGCGGCAAACACTGCTCGTTCGTAGCCGTAGAAGCCAACGAGGCGGAGATTGCGGAGAAGCGGAAGAAAGTACTAGAAGCGATGCTGAATCGTGATGACAAGGAAATTGACAACGACTGGGAGGTATTAGAAGACGGTAAGTACGCCTTATCACCGAGCTTGATATCGCTGACATCGACGAAGCATCAGACTCGTCAGACGATGAGCCAGTACAGGGAGGCGCGAAGCAGTTAGCCTCTATCCAAGCATACTCCATGCCCGTCTCTGCGAGTGCAAGTGCACGAACCGGTAGGGTTCGTCGGCAGCTCGCCGGTAAGGCAGCCCGTAAGTCTGCTCCATCTTCGGCCGGCGGGGTCAAAAAGCCTCCACGGAAGAGGCGCTCGACTTCTACGAGAGACCCATGGACCACAAAGAAGCGTAAGCGTACTAACAAGCCTACAGCTTCGTCGGGTGGTTTCACGGCATACGGCGGGTCTCCTTTTGGTGCCCCAGAAGAGTTTAGTGCATGCTCTTCTGCAAGCCAAAGCAGCACTGGGCTTTTTGGCGTAGCCTCTCGTGGTGGAAGAGGTTTGGGTCGAGGCGGTGCAATGCGTCACCGAAAAGTTGCACCTCAAGCTACTAACGACTGTCATGATTTGAGTCTGGGCATGGAAGAGAAGGAAGAGTCAGATGAAGACATGGGTTTTGCCCTTATGGACAGTCCTGTGTCTCCCCAAAGTCCAGGTAAGAAACCACGTAACGGTAGGCAAAATCGTACTAACAGATCAGCCTACTCGCCAACGTCGCCGTCCTCACCCAACAGCAAAAGGCAAAAAACTGAAGAAGAAACTGGTAAGCCAACGGCTACTCACATTCGCTTTAATCACATACTAACATTGTCACAGGCACCCTTCTTCAACGCCTCATCGCGCGTCAGTCTTTCGAAGGCTCGTGGGCAGCTATCGACAAGCTTCCCTGCGACGAGATGAAGCTTGATCGCGATGCTGCTAGCAAAGCGATCGCCAAGCTCACTGAGACGAATGCTGACAAGGTCTTGGCTACTGCGACCGTAGTTATGTTCTTAGAGAAAAAGATGCAGGATGAAGAAGAAACTTGGGAGTTGGTTGTTGAGAAAGCGCGCGCCTGGCTTGAGAATGAATTGGCGGAGGATGTTCTCGCCCAGGTATGGCAGTTCGCAGAAAGCATCGTTGGGAAAAACTGAGTGGACCGATTTAACTTGATAACAAGAGAGCCACCCCTGCGGGAGAAGGCACCTGCGCAAAGACTGGAAATGGAAAGAAAGGTATCACGCTTGTGATTGAGAATTCACCGTCGCCCTAGGTACGAGCGAATGATATGTGCGCTCAATCGTCAATGGTGTCAGTGTCGCATAGCAATGAATTAGAATCAATGTCATTCAATAGTCTATGGTCTTTTTGATCGCATCGTAAACCCCTGTGAACGTCAGCAAAAGAGAGCACGCAAGCGTCAATACGTTGGGACTTACTGGTAACATCCGGAATGACAAACTGCTCAAACATGAGCCCGGTATGTGTTGCCCACCCTGTCACCCTCTTCACAGGCGCTTCTAGTCTGAGAAAAGCTTTCTCCTGGATTGTAGCAGCAACCTCGGCACCTACACCCGCGTTCATCATGCTCTCATGCACTACAATTGCTCTTCCAGTCTTCTTCACGCTTTCTAGGACCGTCTCTCGGTCCCAGGGGTATATCGTCCGGAGATCTATCAGCTCAACACTGCACCCGAAATCCTTCTCTGCAGCTGCTATCGCCGCTGAGCATGTGTATAGGGGTGTGCCGTATGAGACTATTGTCACATCCTTGCCCGTCTTGAGGACTTCAGCCTTGTCTAGTGGGAGGTAGAATGCGTCGACAGGGACGTGCTCAACGGCTGCACGATATAATATCTTGGGCTCCATAAACACGACAGGGTCCTGGCAACGTATCGCAGAAAGGAGGAGTCCTTTGGCTTGAACGGGCGAGCGGGGTATTACAACGCGTAGACCGGGCGTGTGGGTGAAGAGAGCCTCTGGAGATTGCGTGTGGTAGCTAATGACGTGTTAGCAGATCTCCGCATGGAGGCTTTGGTGTCTTACAGAGCGCCATGTCCGACACTGCCTGATGGCATGCGGATGACTAGCCCTCCACAGTTCACGCCAGTGCTCCCCGACCGGTATCTGTACTTGGCCGCCTCATTGTGTATTTGGTCAAACGCCGGAAAGACATAGTCAGCGAATTGAACTTCCGCTACAGGCTTCATGCCCTCTGCAGCTGCTCCAATAGCAAATCCCACAAGCCCCTGCTCGCTCAAGGGAGTGTTGAAGACGCGTTCTGTGCCAAAGTCTCCGGCCAGATTCATGGTACACCGGAAAACACCTCCAAATTGCACGTCTTCTCCAAACACCATGACGCGTTCGTCGGTTTGCAAGGCATATCGTAGGGCTTCATTGATGGCGGTGTAGAGGTTTATACGCTTTGTTTGGCCCTTTTGTATCTCTGCGGGAAACTCGGGGTTGGAAAGGGACGATTTGGCGGTGTGGTGGAGGATAGGCGTTGTATCGTACTCTACTGTACCATTGAGGCGTGCACCAGGTGCTGCAGCCGAGTATTGTTTGCGTTGGAGATGGTGTTGACAGCGGGGTCGAAGTGGTGCTTGTGGGCGTAGTAAATAGCGCGACAATGCGCGGATTGAAGGGGTTCTAGCGGCCATGTCTACAGAAATGAGAGCGACAAGTTCGTCCAGAACTCGCGAAAAGATACATGCAATAAAGACATGCTGGGCACGAACATGTGAGCCGACGGTTGTGCGGTTGTATGTCGCGGCTACCTACGGCTCTCCAGGTTTCGACGTTGCGGAGTTAAGCGCGCATGTGCCCGGAGAAGAAGGTGCCATCCAGCACGTGATTGACGTCCTGCCAAGGCTAGAGCTGCTGCACAATGACGATGGGCGCCATGATGGTTCCCACGGCAGGTGGAGACTAGCGTACGCATCTTTCGATATTTTGTGGCTGACCTCTTTCATCATTGCTGGCGTTTGAGGCGCAGAGTATTGTGCATGCAGTTTATATGAGCAGCGTTACCCAACAGGGCCAGGTACATGACTGTGGGAAGCACGGCACAGTGTTTGTGCTTGGCGCCTTGTTGTGAGACTGGGGAAAGCAATTAGAGACTAGTACAATGAAGCTCGAACCGGGGTTTATTGATGCCGGCCCCCTCGAGCACACCGAGGACGCGCACGCATTCTGTGTCGAAGCAGATGCCGTTGAGTGACGCGATGGCAGAGTGCTGATTCACCCGGGTACACGGCCTGTAACGAAAGAGTAGAGGACTGGCGCATCCATAATACGCGCGCCTTTGTCCACTTTGAGGCTGCATCTTACGTCTAGATGCACTGACCGTGCGCAGACCCACCAAACCGCTGCTTCCGCATCATTATTTGCGCGCCCACCACAGACCTTGGATTCCACCTCCTTCGCCTAATCCATCTCCTCTATACGGAGACTTTCTTCATCTTTCCGCACTCGGGTGCTTGCCCTGGCCATGAGCGCCTCTCCTTCTCGCGCTGCCGCCAATGGCTCTTCGCTGCGCATTGCTCGACTCGCCTTCTTCGGCCTCTTCCACGCCTTCGCGCCCATCGTGAGCGCGTTGCCCATGCCTTTTGGTGATGTGGTGAAGGCATTCAAGGACGCCGATGAGGATCTCCCCAAGGACTCCAGCGACCCGCAGCTCTGGCTCTACCTGGGTATTGCTATCGCACTTGTTTTGGCCGGTGGTGTGTTTGCGGGTCTGACCATTGCGTGAGTACATTACGGCTTCGCCATTGTGCCACAACGCGCTAACAGCTAGGTTCCAGCTTGATGGGCCAAGACGAGATCTATCTCCAGGTCCTTGCTTCTTCCGGAGAGAAGCACGAACGTAAGAACGCGAAGAAGGTCCTGAAGCTGCTTGAGCGAGGCAAGCATTGGGTCCTGGTGACGCTACTCCTGAGCAATGTCATCACAAACGAGACGCTTCCCATTGTGCTGGACAGGTCGCTCGGTGGAGGATGGCCTGCCGTCGTCAGCTCTACCGTTCTCATTGGTACGCGCATTCGCTCCCAGCTACTTTGGTCACGTCTAATCAGTCTCAGTCATCTTCGGCGAAGTCGTCCCCCAGTCCATATGTGTGCGCTACGGTCTGCCAATTGGCGCTGCCATGGCACCCATTGTTCTCGCTCTGATGTACGTCATGGGCATAATTGCCTGGCCGACTGCCAAACTCCTCGATTACCTCCTCGGCGAAGACCACGGTACCGTTTACAAGAAGGGTGGATTGAAAACGCTCGTCAGCTTGCATCAGTCGCTCGGACTTGAGCATGAACGTCTGAACGAGGATGAAGTCACCATCATCACCGCTGTGCTGGATCTCAAAGCCAAGGCTGTCGGCAACATCATGACGCCAATGAAGGACGTCTTCACCATGTCGTCTGACACCATTCTGGACGAGAAGATGATGGACAACATCCTGTCTGCTGGCTACTCCCGTATTCCCATCCACACACCCGAGAACGAGAACAATTTCGTCGGTATGCTCCTGGTCAAGATGCTCATCACCTACGACCCAGAGGATGCTCTACGTGTGCGCGATTTCGCTTTGGCTACTCTTCCTGAAACGCGTCCCGAGACGAGTTGCTTGGACATTCTCAACTTCTTCCAAGAGGGCAAGTCGCACATGGTGCTAGTCTCCGAATTCCCAGCTGAGGCCCGCGGCGCCGTGGGTGTCGTCACGCTCGAAGACGTTATCGAAGAATTGATTGGAGAGTAAGTAGTGCAACCTCTCAACCCCCAAATCGCTACTAACAAAACTAGGGAAATCATTGACGAATCCGACGTCTTCATCGATGTTCATAAGGCAATTCGCCGCATGGCCCCCGCTCCTCGTGCCCGCGTTCCCCGAGGCAAGGTCATCACCGATATCTCTCGCAAGCCGTCAGAAGCGCAAGCTGTAGACACCGAAACAGATTCAGAACAGAACGGCAAACCGTCCCTACGCAAGACGTCTTTGCCCGAGATGCCCGAAGGCCACCCCAAGCCCTCCTTCCTGCTTCGTCGCCGCAGCAGTGGCAGCAAGGGAGGTGTTTCACCGCTTCGCAGTGATGATCCAAGCGTCATGCAACACCTCAAACATCTCGGTCCTTCGAACGTTGCCACTAGGCCCAAACAGACTCGCATCAACACGGTCAAGATCAAGCCCGGCCAGACAACCCTGACACCTGATATCCCCAAGACCATACCAGAAGATGCTCAAGCCCCAACCGAAACAACACAAACCGAGGGTGTGATAACCCAGGATTCTCATGCGCCCGAAGGTGGCATTGGCGAAGGCTTGTTAGCCTCAGCGGGTCGCGAGGCCAGTGACGGTGTTCACAGTGTAGCAGTGGGATATGGTACCATGGCTCCAAGTGGCGATCGCATGTCCTGGAGATCAGGCCGCTCTGGTACACGGGAACATGAAGAAGAGCCTACGTCTCCCAAGGGTGGTGCTAACGAAGACGACGAGAATACTCATCTACTTGTCGATAATCGCAAAAACGAAAACGGCAGTTCAAGAGGACGGTCGCACTCCGTTAGTACCATTGCCTCTCTACGCTCTATCCGCTCGCGTTCGAACAGTCCGCTGAAGAAGCGACATACCGCTCGAAGCGGTAGCATCTCTGAGAACGTCGTAGACTTCAACGGTATCAAGAAGGTTGTCTTGGAGACCACAAGTTCTAGTGACTCTGAGGACAAGGCCAATGGTAGCCAAGCCGATGGTAACGATGACCAAAAGCATTCGGAGGCCGAGTCCTCGCATGCTGGAGGCAAAGGTTCGAGCAAAAAGAAGAGGAAGAAGCGAGGCAAGAAGAAGAAGGGCGGTGCTGGAGACAGCAGCGAATCACAGCCTTTGCTCGGTGACAACTAACTTTATCACCCGTAAAGAGCATGTTGTTAACGCGCGCTCTGCAGAGGTCTTGAGCGAAATCGGTGCGAATGCGAATGCGAAGTTCCTGAGTCATTTCGAGTCTGATAAAACTAATTGACATGCATCGGCGTCTTCTTGTTCGCCTTGAAAGTTCAAATGGGAAACGTATGCGAATGATGGGCATTGTTAGGACAGGATATATCTTCGCGACTGTATTATAAAAAGGTGTCTTGTTTTTTGGACGATGGGTAGTCGTCTTGCGGGCTTGAGATATATTCGTATAAGCTCATAAACTTGCATTCCGCTTTCCTATGCAACATTGCCAGAACGATGAAACAAGGATGTGTCTTTGACGTTTCTACACGACTACGTACCGTGGACACTGGCTTACTCTCCATCTCCGAGAGAAGACAACTGCTGCAGCGGGACATCGGCCTCATGAACTACAACACTATGCGAACGATTGGTCTACTGTCCCCACCCGGGGAATGCTGTAGTACATGATCACTTAGCCTGGAAAAAGATTATAACCCCTCGTAGCCAGTGGGCCATACCCAAACATCCGAATCGGTCACATTCGTTTTTCTCTCATCGATTCTTCTCTCAATGGTTCTCCTCTCATTGTATGCCTGTCTTACCCCTTTATGCCATTCTTTCTGCTGGTGAGTAGCCCACTCTAATACTTCAATTGGATGTCGACTCCACCACAAGACGATCTCTCGCACTGCGAACGCATTTTCAATGCAAGAATATCCGCCGTCCTTATTCTTCTGGACCTTCATATCGAGGAGTTGATTACACAGGGCTTTCAAACTCCAGCGTCTCTTAACGCTATATCCAACAGCTTCCGATACCAATATCGCCGAATCTACAACGCGCCAGTGTTCCATTCGAAGCGCAGTAAGATCGCGGTGTAGGTTGTGGCCAACTAGAACGGTGTTGGGACCGATGTTTCTCCAGATCTCAGCCCTCGCCTCTGGCCAGCCTTTTAATATCCCTCCTGTGATGGTGGTCGCAGCTTTGGCTTGCTTCGATAGCCAGTCTTGGTTCGTGTGCCAACCGGCCATTGGTTGGACGGGCTGGACTAACGCGTCGATGATGACTTCGCCAGTGAGGTAGTCGATGGCTGAGATGTGCAAGATCTCTGACTCACTGTAGTGTTTACCCACCATGTCGCAGTCAATCACGATGGCAGCGCGCTCTGGGAGATAGGGGAACCTTGGGGGGGTTGGTAACGCATAGTGCATAAGAATACTTGCGTCTTTGACGATGTTTGTATGGTGAGTGTAGAGTATGTATCTCTTAGCAATAAGTGTGTATCGTGAATGGCAGAATGCCATGAGCGCGATAAACACTTCGTTATGGAGTTCTTGCGGAACGACTGTCTTCTTGTGGGCTGGCTGGGGGTCGGATGATTGCACTTTTGACTTTATAGCCACTCGCTTTCCTGGTGTGGTTCCGCCTATAGCACGCTCTCCACCAGAAATAACTGATGTTGAAATTCGTAGTGACCTCTGCGATTCTTGGACTGCTGGATTTTGAGGTGTGCTTATGTGCAGTGAAGATTCAAAGTGCGCAGCAAGAGAATCCAAAGTCCTGGATGTCTTCCCCACTACCACTGGGGTTAAAAATTCGACATTTGTCGCTGGAATTGTGCCTGGGGCATTGGGAATGTTCAGTTGCATCTTGCTTGGTTCAACTTGAGGCGACAGTTCCTTACTGGCTTTGCTGAGCTGCTGTGTTGTTTTGCTTTGCTTGTTGACGTGAATCGCTGAATCCAAATGCTGTTTGAGTGCTTCCTGGCCTGGGAAAGTTCTTCTGCAACTCCCGAATGTACAAGGTATGGCGTGTTTGGAGCGTCGATGAGCCGCCAGGACGGTACCGTTGTCGAATGACAGGGTGCACTGATCACAGGGTAAAGCCACCGCGCTTGTGGTAGAGCTTTTGTTTGCTGACATTGTGGGCTGGTTTATCGATAGTAAGCAGATGGCAGTTTATGAATTCTTACTTTTGAGAGTGATCAAGCGTTCTGTGGCATGTGCTGGCAGATTTGTCAGTTAGTAATACTTCCCCACGCCTTCATGCTGTGTAACGATAGACGACGCGCATCCTACCCCGCCCACCCAGTACTTGCCACATCGAGCTGTACAGAATTCATGATATATTTTGCTCGAGATTGTATGATCTAGACATCAAAGTAGGTTATATTTCGCGTCTGTGGACAATGCCCATCAATCCGGAAGGAAACAGGAGTCTTGTGAACGAGTGATGCGGCTCTGCTCATACTGCTGCCGTGGCACTGCATATAATGGTCATCCGAGTCATATGTACCCAGAAGTCGGCGATGTCTGGAAACTTCCTAGGCATCGATGTAAATCCAGCTTGGTACACTTGCATCCTGCCTGAATGGAAGGGGCCGCCGTGACGCACTTTAGACATCATACCGGATGAGGAAAGGTTCCGACACGAACAGGCCGGTGCGCGTCCGCGTTGATTACGCCTCGTCAACTGTTTGAATTTATTCATCAACACCATTGTCTTTGGCTGAAAGAAGTTCTTACCAAAACAGCTACAAAGTATCCCTCTATCCTGGTTGTCGATGGAAATGAGATCGTTGTATCTTACCGCGCATGTCTGTCGTCAGCTCGAAGCCCCGCGTAAGGCGGGCAAGTGTGCAACAAGGCGCCCTACATCAGAGCGATCCATACCCAAATCTTGCAATGGCAAGACGCCACCGGTGATATCTCAGCAATTGCTAAGTCTTTAGAGAGTATTCATGTCAATCAGCAGGGATATCGTGGGTGTCCTGAAGTTGAGGTTTTGCTTATCGTATCTATATAGAGAGCGACTTCCCCTTCGAATCTCGTGCTATATTGCAAGCCTGTGTTACGCGGGTATGCTTTCCATAACGCCTCTATCTCTATCTGTTTTCATTGCATACGTCGGCTACATTACGATTTGCAGAATCTTCTTCCATCCCTTACGCAGCGTCCCCGGTCCGTTCCTGGCACGCTTTAGCAAATTATGGCTTGTCTGGCATGTTCGAAAAGGCAAATCGCACATCCAATTCCCTAAATTGCACGCCCAGTTTGGACCTATAGTACGCATTGCACCTAATCAAGTCCTAGTATGCGAAGAAGATGCCGTCAAAATTGTTTATGGAGCGGGAACATCATTTACGAAGGGAGATTGGTATCAGATGTGTGCCGCACCGGACAAAAACTGGAAGCCCGTTGATGAAGTTCTCGATCTGTTGACGGAAACGAATATGGAGAAGTATCGCAGGCAAAGAAAAGCCATCGGCCCAGCTTACAGTATCACGGGGCTAGAGAAGCATGAAGGGCTGCTTGATGCTTACATCGATAAATTCGTTGCCAAATTAGAAGATCTGAGGGGGAAAGAGGTGGGCCTTGCAAATTGGGGACACATCTTCGCCTTGGACTCTATGAGCCAATTCACTCTAGGAAAGAGCCCTGGGTACACAGACAAAGGCAGTGACGATGGAAATGAGGACGCCAGCCATGCGCTTTGGCAATGCTTTACAGTTATTGGTCTCTTTCCCGGGTTTGTGAAGTTGATGCACAGCATACCGAAAGTTGGTATGTTGCTTATCCTGCCGATGTCCCTACTCCTAGGCATCAGAATCCCGAAGATATGGCCCGTGTTCAACTTCTGCAGCCCAAGCATCATGCAAAGATTGAGAACACTAGAGAGCATGAAGGATGTGGAGCTACCCGCCAGCCGCCCTGGTTTCACCCAAGAGTGTGGAAAGGACGTGGGTGTACCGGAACAGAGAGGAGAGAGCATCGAAGAGACGGACATGCTGGCTACTTTGATGCGTCTCCATAACGATAGAGAGGCGCGCTTTCCTCCTTCATGGGTCCTCTCAATTGCTCTTACCAATTTTGGTGCCGGGCACGACACGCTGATGTTCACACTTTCTTCTGCCATTTACCATACGTATACGTCGCCGTCAATCCTTGCCCGATTACGCAAAGATATGGAAAGCCAGGGCCTTACACGAAACAGCAAATACTCCGACATCATCACCAGAGTATCATTGCTCCTCGCCGTTCTGAAAGAAAGCATGAGGCTCTGGCCTACGATCGGGTGGTACCTTCCTCGCCTCGTGCCCGCTACAGGGGCTACGCTGTGCGGCACTTATCTTCCTCAGGGTACCACTGTGGGAACAAGCCTCTGGACTTCCCACTTCAGCTCCGAAGTCTTCGCAGAGCCCCAAAAATTCGATCCGGATAGGTGGCTACCCGATGGCACCGAGGAGAAGAGGAGGAGGAGAATTGGCAGAATGGACAGTGTGTGGATGGGGTTCGGAGGCGGAAGCAGAAGCTGTCCGGGACAGCACCTTGCGAGGTTCTTCGTCATCAAAGCGCTAGCTAGACTAGTCATGGGCTGTGATGTTGAGGTGAACGGAGAGCCGGAGATTGGGGGCTGGTTTCAGTGCACGTTGACGGGCGTTGGTATCAGTATCAAGAAGAGGAAGATCGAGTGATAGGCTTTGTAAGTAAGCCAGGCCTGGAAGAAGAGAGCACGGAGAATTTGTAACGCTGAAAAGGGGAAAGTGGAGCAGTGGATGTCTCGCCTTTTCGACTTTGTCATGTTTACTCATCCATCATCTCGCTTGAGAGTACGCAAATCCAATCCATTGCAAGACGACTGCTTCAGTATGCTCCAGGCTTGGTAGTATGGACCGTTTAAACAATAATGTAGTAAAGAGCTTCTACGCGTCGCATGCAGAGTATCTGGTTCTATTTCTAGATTTGCGGCGTGAGATCGATATGCGATTTCCCCAGATCTCGCTTCACTAGCGGCGGGAGTTCCTTGCGCTAGAATCCACTATGTTGGCTGGATGCAAACGTCATGACTATGAACGCCGCGAATTGGCCGCCAGGACGTCACAGCTGTCATAGCTCCATTTTTCTTTTGAGAGAGCTTATGTGAAGAGTGTGATCGAGCCCTTGTCGCTTCAGACATATCATTGCAATTGACCTCCACTTCCAACCTCAGAACCTACAACATTCCAATTTCCCATCAACAACTCTCTACATACAATGGCTAGCCGAACCTTCACACCCATGCTCCGCCAGGCGGTCCGCGTCTCGCAGCGAAATGCTATTGCGGCACCGTGCCGTCGCTTCCTAAACACCGAGACAGCGCCGAGCCTCTACACAGCAAAGGCTCATGTTGTTGGCGCACGGACAGGGTATGCTGAACATTACATTCGAATATGGAACATTTTGCTGACACCTTTCCAGACATGTAGACGGCGAGAACCTCAAGGTCGACCTCACAATGGCCAAAGCCCTTGGCGGCTCCGGAGATGCCGGCAAGACCAACCCTGAGGAGCTTTTCGCGGCTGGCTATGGTGCATGCTGTACGTGCCCGCCCTCTACTCTTTTTAACGAATTGACTAACATCGATCAAGTCCAATCCGCCATGAACGCCGTTGCCCCCTCCGTCGGCGTAAAGATGCCCACCAAGACCGAAGACTCCATTGTCGAATCGACTGTAGAACTTGTTGGTAGCATGAAGGACCTGGACATGGGACTGCGCGTTCAACTCCTCGTCAAGGTACGCGGACTGGCGAAGGAAGACTTGGAGAAGGTTGTGTACAAGGCAAGGCAGGTTTGCCCGTACAGCCGGGCGACCAAGGACAATGTGTACACCACTGTTAGGTGTGAGACCATGTAAAGAACTCGTGGCTGCATAGCATTTCATCAAGTCAATATAAAGAATAGATTAATAATCCTTTTCAGAGACGGTTCTCTTGCGCAGTCTCGATAACAGCAGCTAACATGCCTTCCGCAACGTCTTCCCCATCTTCTGCTTCTGTGACCCATGTTACTCGGCCACTCCGTGGACTGCGTACTTCTAGCTCCATCTTCATTTGCTGCACTACGCAGATTACGTCTCCTTCTTTCACTACATCACCCTCGTCAATCAAGACCTCAACGAGCTTCCCAGGGAACGGGATACTGATATGCGATGGATCAGATGGGTTGCCACGTCTGTGATGTGACGTGGCTGCTGAAGCGCTAGCAGATGTTGAGGAGAGAGTTATGGTATATGCTGTTGTTTGAGGGGTTGCCGAGGAAGCACTAGAGGGAGTTGTAAAGAGCAGTTCCGCGCTTAGTGAGGTGGGGAAATCATTTCGTAAGACGCGTGTTAGCTCGAGGTGATGGGGTGGTGGTTTCTCATTTGCTTTGGTCGTGGGGGAAGATATGGCTATGGACCAGGCATCGCCTTTTCGGAAGAGAGTGTTGGCTGTCGAAACCGATGCAGTTGAAGAAGATGTCGTGATGTCTAGGTCAATAGCGTTAGGATGGGCTTCAGCGATGCGTTGGCTTAATCGAAGCAGTTCTTCCTGTTTGCTTTCTAGCCATTGCGTATCACAGTGACCATTCAGAAAATCCGAATGTGTGACAATGGCTTTCAGCATGTCAAGATTTGTCTTGACTCCTGCGATACGTGTATCCTCTAGAGCCCTACGCGCTTTACGGACCACGTCTTTCCACGATGACGCTGTTACGATAACTTTGGCAACTAGACTGTCGAAGTCTGCTGAAACTACAGCAGGTCGACCGCTGATAAGGTGCGTATCAACCCGAATACCGTTGCCTGAAGGAAATTGGAAAGATGTGATCTTGCCAATCGATAAAGACCAGTCGCTCTGAACATTCTCCGCAGTGATGCGCAGTTGTATGGAGTGCGCAGGGGGCGGGACTTCTGGGCTACTTGGAGCTACTGGTAGGCCACACTGGGTGAGGGAAGCGCCTTGCGCGAGCAGCAATTGTGCTTTGACGATGTCGGTCATGGAAATGGACTCAGTGATTGTATGCTCGACTTGCAACCGCGGATTGACTTCCAGAAAGTAGTACTCTTTTGTTGCTGGGTTCACGAGAAACTCAAAAGTACCAAGTGAGAGGTAGTGTATCTACGTAGAGATTAGCCAAGTAGGTTTAGGGCGGGCTATGGTACTAACATGTTTGGCCATTCTCAACGCATCTTCAATCACCTTGGCAATCAGCTTGCGATCAGACACGACACTTGGTGCCAGTTCGACGATCTTTTGGTATCGTCTCTGGATGCTGCACTCGCGTTCCCAAAGGTGTGTTACAGTCCCACTGCCGTCTCCAATGATCTGAACTTCGATGTGCCGGAAACCATCGACTGCAGCTTTCTCAGCAAAAACTTGCTTAGAAGGGCTCTCTTCGACTGCTCTTTTGACCAAAGCAGGTAGCCGGTCTTTGCTGCGAATCAGACGGATGCCTCGCCCACCACCTCCATCAACTGCTTTGACCATGATTGGGAAACCCACATCTGATGCAAAGCGCTGGACGTCTTCGACATTGTTAGTCGGTTGCTGGAGAGCTGGAGACACGGGGACATTGCCTGTCCTCCGATTAGTGATCGGGTAGTCCCTGGGCCTCATGAATCCTACATTGTTCTGCAAGCAGCCTCGCTTTGAGCTTATCTCCAGTACTACCCAAGATACCCCATCCGGGACCCACCACTACAGTGCCAGCTTCTTTCCAAACTCTCTTCGAGAAGTCTTCCGACTCTGATAGGAATCCATACCCTGGATGCACGGCATCAATTTCGTAGTGTTTGATGATTTCGATAAGAACATCAATACTCATAAAGGTTGAGGCTGATGGTAGCTTGACTGCGTGGTTTGCTCGTACAGCATGCGAATCATCGCCTGATACGTAGATGGCATACGTCTCAATCTCGAGTTCGCGAGCAGAAGAGATGATGCGCGTTGCTATTTCTCCTCTGCAAGATATGTATTAGCTTAGCTTTCCACGGTTCAGAACTGCTACTGACCTATTTGCGACAAGGAGTCGCTTTATGGGTCTTCGCGGTGGCTGCGTCATGTCCATTCTCCACCCAAGATACGGACTCTCTAGAAACTATCCAGTGAAGTCGCTCAATGTTACTCTTTTGTCTGTGAGATGACTCGAAAGGGCGAGTCGCGGGATGACACCGTGCAGAAATAGGCTTTGTGCCGTCAAGGAGGCTCTCTTGACATGAATGTTTTACCTAGATGCAACTTGGTATGAGAAGATTTACCGGAGATCCGATTCGACATGGATAATGACATGTTTGGGGTACAGGCGGGATGCAATGGATGAAGGTAAACGCGGGGAGCTTGGAGATGCCTCGGTTTACCAGACCTACCCCAACATTCTACCACGACCACTCCAACTTGGTCCGAATCATCGCGATGTGACAATTCCACTGTCGCTCCATCTCTGGGGCTTGAAGACACGCTTTTTTACACGCGGTATCTATCGCAATGGCCGGTGACGATCAAAAGGCCGCGCCAAAAGACGCGTCGACGTCATCCGAGACGGCCAAAGACCGGCTCGCCCAAGTCAGCTCGCACATCGCCCCGAACACGCCGAAGCGACGAAGACGCAAAGCCGCAGACTCAGATGCACCTGCAGATTACTCCGACATCCTCGGACAGATTGCGACACTCCGCAAGATCGCTGCGACGCCAGATACCAACAACAGGGGCTACCTGAGGCAGAAGCAGGCGGGAAAGCTATGGGTGCGGGAGAGGGTGGAACAGCTGCTTGACCCCGGCAGCTTCCAAGAAGTAGGCAGTGTGAGCGGGACGGTCAAATGGAAGCAACTCGGGCCTGTCAAGGAGGAACCGGAAGAATATGTGCCTTCGAACAACGTGCAAGGTATGGCCATAGAGATGATGGTAGGAAAAGGTATTTACATTTGGCAGGCTTCGGGAGACTACGAGGTCGAAAAATTGTATTCACGGCCGATGACTTTTCTATTCGCGCCGGACACGCTGATGGCGCTCTCATGGAGAAAACAGTAAGCTGGTTGTAAGACGGCTAAGATACCATTACTGACGACTGTAGATATACATGGAGAAACTTGCTATCGCACTGAAGCTACCCATTGTTAAACTCGTCGATGGCTCATCAGGTGGCGGCTCCGTTACCACCATCCGCTCTACAGGCTTCTCCTACGTCCCTCCGCTACCTTCCTTCGCACAGGTGGTACAACAACTCAACATGGGTATACCGAATCTAGGCGCGGTAGTTGGACCGGCCATCGGCTTAGGAGCGGCCCGCGTGGTTGCCTGTCACTTTTCTGTCATGGCCGCCGACATTGGCTCTTTGTTCAACGCTGGCCCTAGTGTGGTGAAGAATGCGACATTCGAGGAGGGTCTGTCGTTCACAGATCTTGGTGGGCCAGCAATGCATTGTACCAACGGAACTATCGATAACCTGGCACCGGATGAGGCAGGCTGCTTCGAACAGATACGAACAGTTTTGGGCTATCTGCCTGATTGCGGTACGAAGCTACCTCCAGTAATTGACTGCTCTGATCCAGTCGACCGAATGTCGGAAACCCTCCGATCCATCATTCCGCGTTCTAAGAATCGCATGTATAACCCGCGCGCTATCATAACCGAAGTCGTAGACCAAGATTCATTCTTTGAGATCGGTGCGCTTTGGGGTA